CGCAACTCAGTCATTCTGAAAGAAGCTGAGTTCACTGCTGTGTATGCTTTTTATGCATGTTTTAGCATAATTAGCTAATAATCAAGTGATATTAATGCAAAGAAGTTAGTGACTTTAGCTGTTTGGCTTGGGGCTGTACACGGCCAGCCAGCCGCAGCTGTAAAGAATCCCACCCCCCTTCACTCACACTTTTCTAGCTGATATATGATATTCTAATATCATATCTTGAACGTGTGACTGGTGATGTTCATATTTCATAATTGTTCTTTTCATTTTAAACCACATCCATTTTTATTGATTGCGTAACCTCATACATTTTTTTTATATGTGTATATATATATATATATATATATATATATAAATAAATTAATAAATAAATATATAAACATATATATTTGTGTGTGTGTTATCATCACGTGAGAGCTTCAAACCATAACAGCCCTAGTTGCGAGTGTATATGAGTGTATATGAGGGCTTGTTATTGCACTGTTTTGTGGTGGTACCCAGTGACTGTATCCTTTGTGCACTGTTGCACCCGTAGACGTAACCGAAACTGCTTCCGTTGAATCATACCGTTTTATCTCAGACAGGTCGTTTAACTGTTGGCTTCGCCCTGGAACTGACTGTGTGTTATCAGTGGCATCGCTGTGTAAATAACCTCCGTCAGTAGCCATTGCTGAGGCGAGTACTACCAATCAGAGTCTTCTCCAGCCCGCGTCTGTTGTTGCCAGATTTAGCTCCCTCCTAAGGCACTGTGGTTCATGGCTCTGTTGCCGAGGACCCGATCTGACCCAGAATGATGACTTGTTTGTGTGTGCGTTGCTGCGTTGTGAATGAATATGACTGGATAGCAGAAAAAAAAAATCTGTTTGTGGCATTCTGCTACCGTGTATGACTAAAACCCGATTGGAGAGAGAGAAAGAGTCTGTCTGTTTGTGTCTGTGTGTGTTTCAGTCCACAGTAATGATGAGGAGGAATGTGAGGTTGAGTTTGGACGTTCTGGATATGTAAGTCAGTTTTTTAAAGCAAAGGAAATGAAACGTTTTATGTTTTATGCCCGACTTATTTTTAATGTTATTATTTGTATATTTTATGATTATCCAGTGGTGCTTAATGAGCTGACCTAATTTCAGGATCACGTCTGTGTTGCAGAAAGTCACTTGACTGTGTTTTTGCTCAGAGAGCGGCTCAAGTGGTGATGTTTGATCACTGCTGGGTGTCATCCGAATATCCATCAAATCCACACTGAATGCTCTACATATAAAATAGTAATTAGGACTGATTACATAACAGGCAACCCTGTTTGTTTAAGGAGATGTAAGAAGTGTTTCTTTGCAAACGTGATATTCACTGTGTATTTCTTTACAAAGTGCTCCAACGTGGCCAAAATAAATAAAAGCCTCTCTAAACAAAGTGTAACGCAGTGTGTCAGAATAAAAGCCCTGTGCAGAAGGATTCACACCAGCTTCAGCAAGTAAATATTTCAGACTTTACTTTTTTTTTTTTTACGATCACAATGTAACATAGGCTAAAAAAAATAGTATTTTAAAGTGTGATAAAGTATATTAGACCAGCTTGGGCAGTAAGTAAATATTCCATACTTTTATTTTTTTTATTTTCTTTTATTTATTTTTTTTTAAGCATTACAATGTAACATGGGCTAAAAAGCGTTTTAGAGTCTATATAAGAGTGCGGAGTTTTGCTTTATAATAAATTGATAATAAAGATAGTCTGAAGTGATCACTTAGACTTTGCTGCCCTTAAACAAATTAGAAGAATCGTCCAATCTGCCTCATTTTAAAAATGGAAGGGTTTTCTTGTGAAATGCCGTATAGACCACTTTAACCTCTTATTGACCAGGGTATATTTTGGTTTTTCCATCTGAATTCACGTGACCAAATCGAAAGGCAAATTATTCAGTAGCTGCATGAAATAAATGTACATTTTTATTTTATTTATTTATTTATTTTTTGTAAAAGCTCCCCTCAAATTAACAGAACATGTTTTATGATCACACATATTGCTATATGCTTACAATTTACTGCTGAAAGCCAAAAATCTTTGACGCTCTTTGTATTATTTTATAAAAGTAATTTTTACAGAGCAGATCACTGAAGAGACGCCATCTGTTTATAGTTTATAGCCCAGATTTGTGGAAAAATGGGTCGACTTTCAGTAGATAAAAAAAATTGTGAGTTCAGCTTCTTTTATTATAACGGTTTAAAATTACATCACCCATCTATTTGACTGGAAAGAAGACAGTTACAGCTCTCATACGACCCCCACCTTTAGAATGAAGCTTATGAAATATGAAAGTTATGAAGAATATGACAAAGTGCGTTTTGGATCCACCGGTGGTCTCAAGGAGTTGAAAAGGTTGAAAATATATGCTTTCATTTATATATATGTTGTTGGGAGTGGGCTTTACACATTCAGAAAATACCAGTACTGTATTATCATTAATATAACCTTGATTAGAGAAATAATATAATATAGATTTTCCAATTTGTCAGCTGTTTTTCTTTTCAAACACTTATTATACCCAAAATTGTTACAAATGAATATACAGCATTTTGGAGTGAAACTAAGTACCAAATTACCATTAATTACCAAAATGGCACATTATATGATGTATGCAGATTTTAAATTGAACAAGGAAGAAAATGATCAGACTGATACTCTGGTTGGTAAAGAGGCCTTTAAAAGACCTGAAGGATATCTGTGACTCTGTGACTATCTGGCCATTGGTTGCATTGCTTGTAAACATGAGTTCCTCGTAGGGATGAACAATTTTGGGAAAATGTCTAACTGTGCTTTTTCTGAAGTCTTTGTAACTGCGTCTTAAATTGTGATTATTTTCTATAAACTACAGTCCAGGCTTTTTTTTTTTTTCTTTTTTGGGGAAGATCTGCATATCCATTTTTTTCTGGCTTGAGGCTCGAGCACTGAATGTAGTGTCCCACATTGCCAGCTAGTTGTGATTGAATTGTCATGTACACAGCACATGGCTATTCGGCTGCTTCCGATTGGTCTAACTCAACTACAGACAGTTCAGAAGCCCTTTTATTAGGTTGAATTTCTCCTCTTAAAACTTAAGACAGCAGTTTTGATCATTGTTACGACCCCACAGGCAAATCTAGGGGATAAAGGGGCCAGAAACGTGATGTAAAAGGTGACATTTGGAGCACGAACCAGGAAGGAGCAAGATACAAAATGGTTTCTGCTTTTTATTTATTAATTTTTTTATTTTACCATTTAATGCACGCTAGGGTAAAGTACAATCACGCTAGGATCACAGTGAGACCTCCAAACATTAGATTGTTTACATTATTAACAGTATTTACAAAACGGCAGTTATACTTGCTGCTTGAGTGAACGAGATTCTGGACGTGGACGGCGCTAAAAGAAAACACTACCCCAGCTCTTTAGGTTAAGTTCACACCTAAGAACAAAACAAAGAGATATCTACACTGATCTTACCTATACCAAAACATAAATACAAGGATTGGCACCCGCCCCTTACCTAATCTGTCTGTACGCTGGGCTGCTAGGTGGTGTAAAATGTATAAGTGTGCCCATCTAACCAGTCCAGAACCCCAAGAAAGCACAGCAGCGTATGAGAGAGAAATAGAAAAGACAGATGAAAAGCAGCTGGGCAACAAAGCCAGCGTGACTTAACAAAAGAAAGTACAAAGACCAGGAGCACACGAAACAGGGCGGACGCAGGCCTCTCGACGAGCTTTGCCGGGCTGCTTTTAAAGCTCAGGTCCCTCCTCCAGCCAGAACTCGCGCGATGGTTAGTCATTGAGTGGTGGACGTCGAGCCTCTAATGATGACTGACACCGGAACCAACCTATAGAAGAGAGGGGAACCAACCGAGGGAGGAGACATACGGGACAAACAAAGGGGAGAGAGAGAGAAACACCGGCCAGACACCCCATTATTGAGCCCTGTTAAAGACTGAAATAAAAATGCAGCTCTTTCTAATTGAATTGCAATTTCCATTTAAGATGTGCACTCTTAGAACTGTCTTTCAAGCATTGATGATCTTGTCAGATTATTAATCAGATTGTTTCAATCATATCATACAAGCAATTTCGAAACTTCTAAGAATCTTTTTTTCTGAAAATACAGTGCAGTGAAATCCTAATTTTCCATCGAAGCACAACTGTTTACATTATAGTCAGTCACAAATCTGTAATGGTTAAAAAGCGATTAGACTTATTGAGTCTTTCTGGGTTGTTTTGGAGCCTAGGGTTAATTTATGTCCCAAAGGATGAGAAATTGAATCAGAAGCTTGATCTGTAATTAACCCTTGTGTGGTGTTCAGGTCTGTGGGACCCACTTTTAATGTTTTACAAAAGAAAAATGATGCGATTTATTATTATTTCAACCTCAGATTCTTGGCCTTTGCTCGTTTTCTGGGAAGAACATATAAAATAACCCATTTTCAGTGTCTTCACTCTGTTCACCCCCCACACATTTATATTACACATGTGGTGTTGGGTGAACCTGCGGGGAGTAAAAGTGTGGAGGTGCTGTGTCCTTCACTCTGTTCTCCTCCTACATGGCCTGCTGTTAGTGTGTGTGTGTGTGTGTGTGTGTGTGAAGGTGGACAACATGGACAGGCTGCTGACTGGCTACAGCTGCTAAAGGAGAACCCTACTCTGGACACTTTTTTGATATTTTAAACATCTGGTACATATTGGTACTGGACTCTTTTAGATAAATTGTTATGGCTGTATTGATTTAAACAGACAATAATCCGGTGGGCCCACCAGACCACTGACTTACAAACACTTCAACACCACACAAGGGTTAATTTATTTGGCAGTGAGGATGTGTGTGGTGCTTCAAGAAGATAAAGTATCAGTTTTCATGCTCCTCCTTTTTGTGCCAAGGTGATGTTCACAGAAGCCGTTCTCGTTAAGGACGAAATGGATGATTTCTGATGTGGAAATTCTGGATTAAACCTATTTCTCTCCTTTCTCTCTCTCTAGTTGAAGTGGTGGTGGAATATGAGTATCAAGCCGCCCATGAAGATGAGTTGACACTCAAGCTAGGAGATGTAATCAAGAACGTGAGACGCATCGAGGAGGAGGGATGGATGGAAGGTGACCTGAATGGACGAAGAGGCCTTTTCCCAGACAACTTTGTGAAGGTAGAACTTGCACAGTTATTTCAGTTCATACCTGCAACTGAAAGAAGGATCTTCTTCTCACATAAAGACATTGATTATGGTCATGAATTAAATGAGCTGATTATCATAGAGCTTGTTTTATTCTCTATATTATCTGTCTTTTGGGGAAAGCTGCTCTCGATTACTTCCTATCCTGACTTTAGTGATGACAGTTTTTCATTATCTGTAATCTCAGTAATTTAGGGCTTGTTTTTCTTGGATATGGAGGTCCAGAAAGGGTAAGGAAGAGAAAAAAAACAGACAGTTCGCACGTGGAACATTTTGGAAGCATATTCATACACTATTTCACATAAATAGACAAACAAACAAATCAGTTAAGAGTCTATACCTTTAAGCAGATATAAAAATGAAGATGAACATGAGATCATAAGTTCATGTTAAACACACAAAGCATATCAGTTCAGTGTCACATTATGCATATACTGAAAGTGATTTCACTGTAGCATTAATTGCTAGCCTGGTGTACGCTAGTGTTCATTCATATATTTTTTAAGATGCATGTATAAAATGATTTTATGATAAAACATACTTCTTACAAGTTTCATTTAAGAACCTGTAAAAATGAAGATATTTTCAATGACAAATAGAGCTGTAATTGATTCATGAAAAGAGAGAAATCTGTAAAGCATTGAGAACAAACTTATAAAAGAAACTAACAACCAGAATGTCTCATATTTGAAAGCAATAATAAAATCTCACTATTTTAACACCTATGCATAGTACAGGGTGATTCAAAAAGATTCGTCCGATTTTAAAGCGCCATATTTTTACAACCGTGAGGTGCCTAGGAACCAATCACATACTAATTGAAAGAGGGGGGTCGTAGAGTTTCTGACTGTCAGTGGAAGATGGCTCCCTTCAGTCTGAGAGGAGATGAGACCCCTGAGCAGAAAGCGTTCTGCGTTCTCCACTTCAATAAGAGTGAATCCGTCATAACTGTGCAGTGTGATTTTCGTGGGCAGTGAAGCTCCAACAGCTCAGAGCGTTCGCCGTTGGTTCCACAACACTGGATGATCTCCGAAATCGCACTGAAAGAGCCGTGAGTGCAGCGACACCCGACATGCTCAATCCAGTATGGGATGAATTTGACTATGGTGTTGATGTTGTCTGTACAGCTGGAGGAGGTTCATACTGAGACCTTGTACAATTACATAATAAACTTTTTGCTCATTTAAACCATTTACAGTTCACTGCATTGTTCTGTAACGATTTACAAGTGAAATAAATCATTTTGAAATTGGATGAATCTTTTTGAATCACCCTGTATTTGTATGACAAAAATTCCAATAAACAGAAAATTACAGCTTATCATTTAATAACACTTCCATGTTTTTTTTACCATGTCCTAATTTCATGTTTCTAAAATACTGTAAGTAAAGCATTGGTTTAAGTTTTGGCGTCTAGTTTATAGCACTTCATTAAATAACAGTTATTAACTTGAGGTGATTATGATCCACAGAAATATATCAGATCTGACTTTATGTCAGCAGATACTCAATATCAAAAGACTCTGATTGGATTGAAGGGGTAAAAAAAACTGAACCGGAATATTTCTCATCCGATTAGTAATTGAGTAACATACCAATTATTTGACATTCAGGTAATCAGAGATTTTGTCAGATATGCAGCCGATTGCTATGAAAACTAAATAAGACCATAAAAACACAAAAAAGCATTTTGATCTTAGTTTTGACATGTATTATGCATTTCATGAAGAAAAGGCAAAGCCTTTGAAGCTTGGATTTTCTTTTCTCTATTAGCTTTTCCATTTTAGATACGACCATGAAATACCAGAATAATGACTAAAATGAAATGACAAATAGCTGTTTTAAATTTATTATTAGCTATTAATTATATTTTTATTTTTGTCACTAATGACTCGTGCTCATGTAAAAAAATGAAATTGCAAATGCAGCTGTTTTATTTCATTTTCAAATTTGGCAGGATATTTGCGCAGACATTTGGAAAAAGAAATGGCAAAAAGAGGTTTGAATTTAAATTTTGTTTCAATTTTAATTTCTTTTTTGGCCGGATTTGACTCCCATATCGTGTTAATACTGATCATAACAGCTAAAGGCTCAACATTTTGCTGCTCATATCTTCTCAACTCCTGGCGTTTTACAGTGCTCATAGATTTAAATGTCTGTAGAGTTTAGAAGTGATTGACACTTTCAGTGAAGATTGCACTTTGCCCTTAGGGTCCATATCACAAGGTACATAGAGGTTATTTTGTTTTAATGGCTTTCTGTTCAGAAGACACTTTTCACTAAAGTGTGAATTGAGGGTGTAACATGCACTGACCTGAAAACCTCACAGCTATGCGAAAAATTTGGCCTATGTTTGCGTCTTACCATGTGAGCTTACGGCCTGTGGCTTGTAAATCACTCTTGGGTTGTTTGGGATGGGGAGTTTAATTATATGTAATCTTCTTAAATTATGAGTCGTTTTTTCAAAGCAGCTTGTTTGACTTGTTTAAAAGACAGCGTCATGGCAGGGAGCTCATTTTTGATACTGTAGGTCATGAAGTGAATTGTAATTCACGAGCCGTTACTCCCTCGAGTCATTGCCCTCTTACTCCTCATTACCAGTGCTGTGTTGCAACATGGGTAGTTCTTAGCTCTCCAAACTGAACTTTGCTCCCGGATGGAGTTCGAAGTTTTGATTATCAGCTCTGAGCTGAGATAGAGATTCTCACAGAAAGCCATGGATAGCGAGGAGGTAAGAGACGTAAACTCTGATGATTTAAGACCAGGTAGGCAAACGTTGCCATATTGTGTCTGGTTTTAATGCATATTTCGAATGTTTTGTTTGAGGGTGTGGACAGATCCTTCTTTCTTTTGGTCTATTGTTTTGCTTCATCTCAGGTGTAATTGCTCTGTATCATTCCCCAGTTCTAAGGTGGAGCAGTCGAGAAAGAACATTAGCGTTTGAAGAGCTTGGACTTTGTACAATGTTAAGGCAAAGGAATTAGGAATGAGGAAAATTTAGAAATCCGTCTTTACCGATTGGATAGACTTGTTGATGGTAACTATATCTTTTTGTCTTACCTCAAGGGTTCCTGTATCTAGGTTTTTCTAGCATTGCTGTAGTCTTCTGTTATTGAATTTAAACCTCTCTTTCTCCGTGACGACACATTCCAAGATCAGGAAGGCTGGCCTTAAATCAGTTCTTTTTAGCAGGAAGTAGACAGGCTACACAAGTGCTCATTCAGCAGAGCGGACAGGAAGTTTTCAGCGGATGTAGCTTGTGGCAACCCCCATTCTCTGGTGGGGCTCCAGGAAGCCGAGGCCTTTGTGCCACATGCTTTCTTTTTTTTCCCTACTGACTTAATGCCTGTCTGATGACCGGGAGACTCTTCCTCAAACAGATGCATTCTCAGCATGCAGCAGAGTTTAATTGTTTAACAGTTTAACATCAAGACAGTTTCTTGTTAGATATGATGTAAAACCATCCATGTGAGGATCTAGAGAAAATGCAGTGAGTATCTGCTAAAACTGCTGTGAAACGGTAGTCAAAACCTCTTATTCTCCAGGGTATATTTTGGTTTTTCCATCTGAATTTACATGAACAAATCGTAAGGCAAATTATTCAGTAACTGCATGAAGTAAATGTAATTTTTTATTTTATTTTATTTTTTTTTTTTGTAAAAGCTCCCCTCAAATTAACAGAACATGTGTTTTATGATCACACATATTGCTATATGCTTACAATTTACTGCTGAAAGCCAAAAATCTTAGACACTCTTTGTATTATTTTATAAAAATAATTTTTACAGAGCAGATCACTGAAGAGACGCCATCTGTTTATAGTTTATAGTCCAGATTTGTGGAAAAACGGGTCGACTTTCAGTAGACAAAACATTGTGAGTTCAGCTTCTTTTATTATAAGGGTTTAAAATTACATCACCCATCTATTTGACTGGAAAGAAGACAGTTACAGCTCTCATACGACCCCCACCTTCTGAATGTAGCTTATGAAATATGAAAGTTATGAGGAATATGACGAAGTGCGTTTTGGAGCCACCGGTGGTCTCAAGGAGTTGAAGAGGTTAATTGACTTTATTAGTAGTTACAAATCACTGCTGTGGGAAGAAAACGTCATATCTCCATTTGTTGTTTTTCAGGTTTTGACAATTTGAATATACCTGTTACCCTTTACATTGTGTGTAAATTTAATGATGAATGTACTAAAATAAATGACCCAAAATGACTTGGGAAAACGTCTGGTTCCATTGACTTACATTGAAAGTAAAGTAGGTTTTTTCCTTCTCCTGTGAAGTTACCATTTTGGAGATACAAGGTTTTCTTCCGACATCAGCGAAATGCATTTTATTGGGGTACTCGTGACGATTCTGGCAAAACAGCGTTTTCCAGTTCGTCTAAAAATCTGAGGCTACTAGTGAAAAAGCTTCTATTTTGCATTCTGTTATAATTTAAAACTTTTTTTTTTTAATTACAACAATGAAATGATGAGAGCAACGGCTGCAAGTTGATTAAAGGGGAATTCCACCGATTTTTCAAATCTGAATCGTCCATGAGACAGTAAGGACAGTCTTTCAGAGTGGTTTGACATGCAGTGATTCATTTGTAGATTTTATATGTAATGTTGATGATGGTAAAATAGTCATAAATATGAAAATAATACATTTTCTTTGGGACTGTTTTACCTTACAGTGCCATGCATGTACCCCACTGCCATAAACAGATTAAAATAAATGGATTAAAGTACATTTTAAGCCAAACCTTTATCACAAAGCTGTCATAAAATGTGTCAGACATCATGCAGTGCATTCAGATCCATTTCATATAATAATGTTCTTTGAGGGAGCTTTCAGAGGTGGAACATCTGGTTCCTATCACCAGTAAAATAGTCAGTGTTAGAAATTTTGTTGACATCTTTAACATTTCTTCATTTTCCTTGTCATTTTGCCATGTATTAATGTTTTTATTTTAAATTTTCTGTTTGATTTTCAATGCGTTGTCAGATTTTGGACATTTTGGAACATTAAAGCTACTAGACTTGCACTATATTGTCAATATTTTCGATGATGTTAAAAATAAAAAAAATCATTGTTGTTGATTAGTTGGCTTGATGATCTTTGTGCACTCCATTTACTTCACCTGACTGAAATAGGAAAATACAGATGGCGGAGGCTACAGTACAGGGTTATTTGGGGACACTTGAGTTTAACAATTTCTTGTTAGATATGATATTAAACCATCCATGTGAGGATCTAGAGAAAACACGTTTGTGGCAGGAAATGTCAAAAGCTTAGCACATTTTAGTACATCTGTATACCCAGAAAAGCCTACCTGTGGCTTCAGACTGCAATCTGATAGCTGAGGTTTCCTACATTTTAAATAATTAACTGAACTTCTAAATAATGAATATTGCGCTGTTTCTGTAGTACAGACGTAGCTAGTGAACCCACAGTGCTGTTTGAATTGAGGGGTATTTCTTGTAGCCTGTAGGATCTGAACAGCACTATGTGGTGAACGACACCGATCAGGCATAACATTATGACCACCTCCTTGTTTCTACGCTCATTGTCCATTTTATCAGCTCCACTTACTATATAGGTGCACTTTGTAGTTCTACAGTTACAGACTGTAGTCCATCTGTTTCTCTGCATACTTTGTTAGCCCCCTTTCACCCTGTTCTTCAGTGGTCAGGACCCCCATGGACCCTCACAGAGCAGGTACTATTTGGGTGGTGGATCATTCTCAGCACTGCAGTAACACTGACGTGCTGGTGGTGTGTTAGTGTGTGTTGTGCTGGTACGAGTGGATCAGACACAGCAGTGCTGCTGGAGTTTTCAAACACTGTGTCCACTCACTGTCCACTCTATTAGACACTCCCACCTTGTCAGTCCACCTTGTAGATGTAAAGTCAGAGACGATAGCTCATCTGCTGCTGCACAGTTTGTGTCGGTCATCCTGTAGTCCTTCATCAGTGGTCACAGGACGCTGCCCACAGGACACCATTGGCTGGATATTTTTGGTTGGTGGACTATTCTCAGTCCAGCAGTGACACTGAGGTGTTTAAAACCTCCAGCAGCACTGCTGTGTCTGATCCACTCAGACCAGCGCAACACACACTAACACACCACCACCACCACATCAGTGTTATTGCAGTGCTGAGAATGATCCACCACCTAAATAGTACCTGCTCTGTGAGGGTCCATGGGGGTCCTGACCACTGAAGAACAGGGTAAAAGGGGGCTAACAAAGTATGCAGAGAAACAGATGGACTACAGTCTGTAATTGTGATAAAATGGACGATTTTATTGCTGCAATATTGTCCCCTCATATATTTTATTACAATGTCTTTATCAAGATATGAGTTAAGAGCAACGCAGATGACCACCTTCATTGAGAATTGGCCCAGGATTAAAGGGGAACAAAACTCAGAATCTCTCACTGTTGCTGTAATTGAGGATTTCCGTGTTCACTGCTTTGTGTTTGTTTTGAGGACACAGAGGAACTTGGATGAAGGATGAAGGATATTTCACACATTATGATTAGTCATACTGAAGAAAGGAAGTGCCAGGGTGGTTTTTGTTTGGCTTTTATCTTGAGTGTATTGTCAACAGTGGGCATGTAAGTTTAAGCGTTTTTTGCGTTCATATGTGGGGCCAAACTTACATGGAGGCTGTGAGTATCTTTGCAGTCTTTGTGGTTTGGAGAAACTAAATGATTTTAAATTTTAGTTGGACTATTTGTTTTCAACACCTGAAATGCATAACGAGGAATTTATAACATGTATACTTTCATTACCTCCCTGTTTTTGAACTGTATGAACTATGAAACTGGGTGTCTTTATTTTTTTATTATTTTTTTTATAAAGCTTTTACAATCTTTACATTTGGATCTCAAAATGAAACAATTCTGTAATCTGTAATTCTCACTAAATCACAGCTACATATATTTATTCTGGTGCTGTTCTTTAAATTTAGGAAGTGAAGAAAGAACCAACGAAAGAGGTGTCGAAGGAGGTCAAGGAAGTCAAGGAGGTGAAGGATGCAAAGGATGTAAAGGATGTGAAAGAGGTGAAGGAGGTAAAGGAGGTGAAGGAAGACTCTCAGCCACAGCGCAGGTCGGCAGGGAACGTAGCCAGTCTGGTGCAGAGGATCAGCACTTATGGCGTCCCAACAGGAGGCCTAGGCCTCCAGCCCCGCGCCTCCAAAAAGAGTAAGTCTCTAGTGCCTGTAGTCACTCGTATTCCAGTCCTCTATGAAGATGAGCGCTGTTATTGGATTCCAAATGAAGTGTTAGTTTTATGGTTTTAAATACAGTTCCTTGTCAGGTGACCTGTCCTTTTGAGAACCTGCTGGTTTGCCTGCAAAGTCCATTTAGGGAGAGTAGAGCAAAACCTAATGAGGGGGTAAAACAGCGTTATTTTTGCAGTGTTTTCACATATAGTTTGTTTCAAATTAAGCGAACAGAGTTCTGTGAAAGGGCATTTTGAGTGTCTGAAGTGGACTTAGACCACTGAGTCATGGTTTCTTTTGCATATGTGAACATGTCAAACGAGCTCAGACCCCTATAAACGGCCCCAAAAACTAACCGAACTGAGACCACCTCTCGATATGGTCTCAGTTCAGCAAAAATGACCCTGTGTGTCAGCTGCAGTGGGTTCCGTTTTCGGCTGTGCTCCTCACTGAACTCCACCCAGTGAAAACCTTCGTCAGCGGTGAATTTTCATTCATTCAGCGTGAAAGCAGCTTAAACTTGCGTTGTGTGCCGAGCTTCAGCTTTTAACACGGTAAAATCACACGGGCTCTCGCATCTTATCACTTTAATATGTCTGCGCTGCTGTCTTGTCCCACATAATGGGCAGGCTTTATCCTGTAGAGCCTTATAAATGATCCCTGGTAGTCTGTTTTACCTGCTGAAGTGCTGAAAGACTGTGGCTATGCGTACAGTACACATCAAGGTCTTCACCCTGAAGCTAAAGTGGACTGGGCCAGTTTTGTTTTCACAATGCAAAAATTAATCAAACCACAAAACGAACTACAAACAAACCAAACTCGAGAGGTGCTCCCACGTCGGTTCACTTCGAAAGGTGCTCTCAGTTTGATTTGTTTTTAGGGCCGTTTAGAGGGTCTGAGTTTGTTTGCCGTGTTCACATACGCAAAAGAAACCATGACTCGGCGGTCTCAGTCCACTTCAGACACTGGAACGGCCCAAAGTGTGAAAACGCCCTTAATGTAGTTAAACAACTTCACTTAAAACATTTACGTTTTTTCTTTTTTTTTTTCGATTACTGAATTGTTTGTATAAGATTTCAGTTATTTTGTTTTCATCTGCCTTTTGGTGGCAGTAATATAGTACTATTTTTCAAGCCTATGAACTCCTCAAAGAGGCCCAGCTAAAGGACAGCCGCCTCACAGAAGAGTTGGTTTTAACAAGGTGTTGCATAGGAGAGTGCATTCTGACTCATTTTGATATTCAAGTATCCTTAAGAGTTAACAAACGAATATCTGGTTAATCACAAGAAACGTTAAACAGATATTTTACTTGTCGCTGTTGTCAGAAGAAAACCTTGTATCTCCAAAATGGTAACTGTACAGGAGAAGGAAAAAACACACTTTACTTTTAATGTAAGTCAATGCAACCAGACTTTTTTCCAAGTCGTTTTGGGTCATTTCTTTTAGTCCATTCATAATGAAATTTACAAACAACATAAAGGACAACAGGTATTTTCAAATTATGTAAAAAACTGAAAAACGACAAAAATGGAGATACGAGGTTTTCTTCCGACAGCAGCGATATGCTTTGGTTTATTCTGCAACAGTCTGTGTCATGTTAACCAGAATGTCTTTCTTTTTGTAAAAATAACAGCAACATTATTTCCTATAGCATGTAGTCCTGCATTATGTGCAAAAGTCATGTTTTTTTGATGGAGTCTTTCAAATCTATTGTAGTGTTGGCAGTAAATGTCAAGCAGGCACAGTTAAAAGAAACAGAATAGAGACTAGGCGACTGAACGCCGTGTCTGTTTTTTTCCCCATGTGCAAAACAGCAGGGGGACTTTTTGCCACCCACCGAGTTATTTACTTTAAATATTTACTTTGGGTGAATGGTTTCCCTGATCTTGTGTTTGGTGGGATTCCTATCAAGAACTCTTATCAAAAACCTGTATTTAGCGACTAACGGGAACACTATTCTGTACACCGATCAGGCATAACATTATGACCTCCTTGTTTCTACGCTCATTGTCCTTTTTATCAGCTCCACTTACTATATAGGTGCACTTTGTAGTTCTACAGTTACAGACTGTAGTCCATCTGTTTCTCTGCATACTTTGTTAGCCCCCTTTTACCCTGTTCTTTAGTGGTCAGGACCCCCATGGACCCTCACAGAGCAGGTACTATTTGGGTGGTGGATCATTCTCAGCACTGCAGTAACACTGCTGTGGTGGTGGTGTGTTAGTGTGTGTTGTGCTGGTCTGAGTGGATCAGACACAGCAGTGCTGCTGGAGTTTTTAAACACTGTGTCCACTCCCTGTCCACTCTATTAGACACTCCTACCTTGTCAGTCCACCTTGTAGGTGTAAAGTCAGAAACGATAGCTCATCTGCTGCTGCACAGTTTGTGTTGGTCATCCTCTAGTCCTTCATCAGTGGTTACAGGACGCTGCCGGCTGGATACTTTTGGTTGGTGGACTATTCCCAGTCCAGCAGTGACACTGAGGTGTTTAAAAACTCCAGCAGCACTGCTGTGTCTGATCCACTCAGACCAGCACAACACACACTAACACACCACCACCACAGCAGTGTTACTGCAGTGCTGAGAATGATCCACCACCCAAATAGTACCTGCTCTGTGAGGGTCCATGGGGGTCCTGACCACTGAAGAACAGGGTAAAAGGGGGCTAACAAAGTATGCAGAGAAACAGATGGACTACAGTCTGTAACTGTAGAACTACAAAGTGCACCTATATAGTAAGTGGAGCTGATAAAATGGACGATGAGCGTAGAAACAAGGAGGTGGTCATAATGTTATGCCTGATCGGTGTGTATATTACTATTGTGATTATCTGTATCACCTTGTCCAAAAAACTGTGTGTGATTGTCGATTGAGCCATTCTAATATGTTGTAGTGGTCAGTTAATTAAGTTACCTTCAGTAATCCAGTCTTCTAGAAGTAATTAGGTTTTTCTGCAAGACATTTAATCGTTCTGTGGTGGACACAGATCTCAAAAATCGGGTTCTTGCAGAACTCTGACATTAGCTGTGTTGTCAACCCTCCAGATGAGATTATATTGCTATATTAAGACAGTCTCTTCACCTTACCTTGCTGACTCAGTTGGCACTTGATGTAAAAACATTTCATGACTTACACAACGTCGTCACTCAGAACTGGTTTGTTGTGTTAACCAAAACCAGGAAACTAAATGAGAAAAGCCATTGGCTTGTTGCGCAGGGTGACTTACCCGCACACCTTCCTCATCGCTCATAGGCCGTTATGATTTTCTTTCGTGTGAAGAGGTTGAACTTGAAATGGGAAGCTTCAGCTTTGCCTCTATTAAAAGTAACTAGTTTCATTTCCCTTAAACTTGGCCGACTCTATATTTAGAGCCGGTCGCCTTCGACGGGCGGCGCTGATGGATTGAATGGTGATTTGTATTTTGTTGCAGTTGTTGAAGTTTTAAACGGTGAACAGTCTTAAACATCACGTTCTACGTTTTTTAACATAAGAAAACTAGACATTTCTGAGGATGTTAAATAGTGACACACTACTCTGTTGTATTCAGTCAGTATACACCGATCAGGCATAACATTATGACCACCTCCTTGTTTCTACACTCATTGTCCATTTTATCAGCTCCACTTACTATATAGGTGCACTTTGTAGTTCTACAGTTACAGACTGTAGTCCATCTGTTTCTCTGATACTTTGTTAGCCCCCTTTTACCCTGTTCTTCAGTGGTCAGGACCCCCATGGACCCTCACAGAGCAGGTACTATTTGGGTGGTGGATCATTCTCAGCACTGCAGTAACACTGCTGTGGTGGTGGTGTGTTAGTGTGTGTTGCGCTGGTCTGAGTGGATCAGACGCTCTGTGTTCGAAGAGATTTAGAAAGAAATGTCTGAACGCGGCCGCAGGAGAACGAGGCTGCAGTGTCAAAGAACAGTTAAAAGTCTGAAGGCAAAGTTTAAAAAATCTGAGGATGCGAACCAAAGAAGTGGCCGCGCCCTTTTTATGGCGAGCTTGAACACAGTCAGGGTGATGAGCCCAGCTGTCAGTCAGTGAAGCTTCATGATGGCTCCTGTGATGCTGGCCAAGATGAAGCTGATCCTCCGGGAGCGACTGGAGTTCGTTCATAGTCATGATTGTTTACCTCTGGATGAGCCGTGAAGCAGCGTGAAGCTCTGTTCTTTTGCGCATGTGGGTCGGTTTAGGAGCTGATCTGTTCAGACTGATGACTCATACAGATCGCATTTAAAAGATAATCTGAACAGCCAAACAAAAAAATCGGATTTGGTCAGAAAATCAGATTTGGAGCACTTTTACCTGCTCTGTGAATGGAGCCTAGAAGTCCAGCGATGACGAGACAGTTGTGTTAATAACACACAAAACATTCTACACGGGTGTTCATTTTACTCCACCTAAGGAAATGCAGTCGGTAAAATGAAGCACTCCAGCACCGTACATTGTGTGTCTGTCTTCTTATGCATGTACACCTGGTCCCAAGACTTAAGTAGAGTGTTATTCTGACAGTAAACATTTTTGAGGCTCGTTCCTCCATCTAACTGCTAAATCTACTGCCATTTTTAGAGGAAGTCTCAACGACACGTTTTTTTTTTTTTAACCCGATTTTCCCCCCAATTTAGTCGTCTCCAATTCCACCCGCTAGTTAGGACTCCCCCAGTCACACGATGCTATCAACGCTAGGAGGGTGAAGGCTAACACAGGCTTCCTCCGAGTCCTCTGAAGCCAACCACCGCTTCTTTTCGAGCTGCCGCTCACGTAACGTCATTGGACAGCCGAACGCGCTCGGAGGAAAGCACCAACCTCCAGATCTGTTACGTCAGCTAACAGACGCCTGCGCTGACTAGCATCGCGCTGAGTGATGGGGGGAGAAGGAGGGGCCATCCTACCCACCCAGAGAGAGCGAGGCCAATTGTGCTCTCTCGGACTCCCGGCTACGGATGGCTGTAGCATCACCAGGGATCGAACTCGCGATCTCCTGATGATAGGGCCAACGCTTAGACAGTTGCGCCACTCGGGAGCAACGACACATGTTTTGAGACATTCCAAACGATCTCATTGGACATGCTGTGCCGTTGAAATGCACTCTGGGCCAGATGTATCTACGAGCACAGGTGCAGCGCAAAATATCCCTCAATAAGACCACATTATATAGCTGCAATATGCACCCACAATGCACTTGAATTTAACATTTGAATTAGCCACACACACAAACTACTCGATCGTGAGGTGCAGTGAAGCTACAGAGCCGTCAACAAGCTTGAAAACAAATTGAATGTTCAATGATGACGAGATAGCAGTGTTGATAAGTGAAGTTCTTTACCTCCTAAACGTTCTACAAGGGCGTCATTTTATTAACAGTTTGTGAAAAGATAACACACATATTACAACCGCATCTCTTCATGTTGCCCACCTGTCTTCTTACACATGTACATCTGATCTCAAGACTTTAAGTAGTGTTATTTTGATGGTAAACATTTTTTGAGGTTCATTCCTTCCTCTAACTGCTAAATCTACCAACATTTTTAATGTAAGTCTCTCGACAACACGTCTTTTGAGACATTCAGAAAGATCTAATTGGACAGACTGTGCTTTTAAAAACACTCTCTGGGCAGAGAACTTGTAGAGGGGAGAATTACCACTTCGTAATGTCTTCCTGGTTTGAATGGGTTAATATGGCGCATTTGAGTGAAATCCTAGTTTATAAATGCTCAAACATTTTTAATGTAAAAGAATACATTTATTCCCTGAACACAGAACAGCATAAAACATTTTAACACCGCTTTTATATTTTTAAGAGCTTTTAAACTCGAGATATACGAGTTTAAAACGGCGCCTTATGTATGTCTATGACGTATGTGAGCGCGAACAGCCAGTGAGCTGCTCCGCTCGCCAACCGATCAGCACTCAGTAGCAGCAATGCCTGCCTTCTGCTGCCCAAAACCTATTTGTTGTAGAAATAAGGAAACAGGTGAGTTTTCTTTGTTTTTTTAGTGAAATCCATCCTTCTACTTTCTAAAATTAAAGGAAAGTTTCGGGGCGAGTGATTAGAAACTATTTTAATTTTTTGTTTCTAGCCATTGAGCTCCATTTACTCCCTTTCATTGAGGACTCGCTCGTGGGCGCCCTCTGCTGTTTTTCAGTCCTGTTTTAAATGTAACGGGGGGAATAGGAAGTGGCCAGCCTCATCATAAACCAGCTCTGCTCCGGGCCGGGTGTATCTGTGAGCACAGGTGCACCACAAAATTTCAAACTACTCGGTCGTGAGGTACAGAGTTTAAAAGAGGCAGTGAAATAACGGAGCCGTCAACAAACTCGATGTAAAGCAGAAAATGAAAGTTCAACAGTGATGAGGTGACGATGTTAATAAATAAAGTTCTCTTCCTCCTAAAAATTCCCAGGGGGGCGTCATTTTACTCCAGCTAAGAAGAAATAGGTTGTGAAACATGCGCACGCATATTGTGACAGCATCTTTTCACGTTTCCTCTTTTTCACTCAATCAGTCGACCTTTATTTAACCTCGGAGAACGTTGAGGGTGACCCTCATTCACGATGAGTGCTTATACGTGTACTCAATAATCCGATTGTAATTGGATTTCTGCAGTCATCCGATTATTCAAATGGTCATGTAAACAGCACACTCCGATCTAGATTTTAGCTCAGTAATCAGATTTCTCAGTGCATGTAAACTCTTACTCTGACTTCTATCGGATTTCTCAGTCTGCACTTGGGCGAGATCAGACAGTGGATGTCGTGAGACGCAGCAAAACACTTTTGGAGCGACGCTGAAACCAAACACGAAATAAAGGATTTCAAAATTCTTCGTCTTCTAGATGATGTGTGTTCATATTTTCAGGTAAAGTGGCATGAAGTTTGAGTTTTACGTTATGTTTGTCATCATCATCATCTGATTACTCAAGACGTGGTGATCGGATTACTGATAAAATCTGATTTTCTGCAGTTATCGCATTATTAAGTGCATGTAAACGCACTCAATGTTGCAGGGTTGATGCAGGGAAAAGGGATTGATTAATGTGTAAAAACATATAAAAACGTCAAATAATAAAAGTGAATTTAATAATAAAAAGGACTCAAATCAGGTAAGTATAAAACACACGAACATCTGATCTCAAGACTTTAAATAGTGTTATTCTAAAATAAACACAGTTAAACCGCTTTGTCTGCTTCCATTTTAAAAGAAGTCTCTCAGCAACAGGTCTTTTGAGACCCTAAAGCAATTTTAGGCTGAAAATGTAATCAGCCGTATTTTTTTTTTACTTTTTTGGCATGATTTTCCCAGTTTTGGCCTCACAATGCATATGAAGGAAGAGAAACACATTTTGTGCTTTACTGTGCACACGGTCTGTAAACTGCATGTTCAGGCTCAGCTTCCCAGTTTCGTACACAACATGATCCCCAAATGGCTCAGTAATCAGACCCTCAGCGTATGGCGTAAACCAGGCTCCAGACCATTTAATAATATTATTTTTGGGCTGGGACTCTAGTTTGCGGGGTGTTTTGTCTAATGCAGGCTGGGAGATATGTCTGGAAATAGGAATGTCGGTGGAGCATGCTACTGTGTTTCTCCAAAGTGTGAATCATCTGAAAAAATGTGCCCTGACAGGGTGTGGTGTCGGTTGTGTGTGTTCATGTGTGCATGTGTGTTTGTCTGAGCTCCATTTCCTGCACCTTTTCCCCGAGCCCTCTACAGGTAGTCATGGGGCATAAACCGCAAAGTGCTTGATTGCTATTGGTTGAGCCGTTTCAAGCCAGAACCTCCGTATGTCTGTTGCAGAACCGAAGAAGCGTCAGTGCAAAGTGCTTTATGATTACGTGCCTCAGAACGAAGATGAGCTGGAACTGAAGGTGGGCGACATCATCGAAATCACTGAAGAGGTAAGGAGCGTTCAAGCTCTGCTGCAAAGTGTGCAAGTTACGACTTGATCCTGTCTGTGCTCTGCATTGTGCTAAAAGTTTTTGCACACGTTTAATGTCCTGTTTGGAGATTGTTTTTGCAAAAAGTCTGTTTGCTTGTGCAAGAGTCCATGTAGATAAAATTAATGCGTGTTAACCACAGTCTCCGTTATTCCTGTAAAAATAAGATGTAATCGGTTTTCTTTCCTGCTATGATTGTTACAGCACTGTGAGGCCAGACCTGTGAGTTATGTATTATAAAACAGTGCTCATATTTGATTTTTGATTAATAAACAGCTGAAACTGCTGCTGCCAGGACTTGTGGAGACCGGAGACTGTTATTCTGTCATTCTGTCAAATAATTTTTTGTCTTACAGCGAATGTACAGCAATTATAGCATATTTTAAAGGAATGCTTTATGCTTAAAAGATCTCTTAAAATAATGTAGCGATCAGACTGTTAGTATGATGTCATTCCCGTAATGCTGATCAAACCCTGATGATTATTCATATTAGTAAATGTGTCCTTAACAGCAGTCATGCCTCTTGTGCAGGAGCAATAATAGACAGTGCTGAGTGTGTGTATTTCGTAGGTGGAGGAAGGCTGGTGGAGCGGAACCATGAATGGGAAGTCTGGCCTTTTTCCCTCTAACTTTGTCAAAGAAGTCGAGATGAGCGAGGAAGCAGAAAGCAACGATGCGCCTGATGAGCCAGGTACTTTTCACAAACCTGTATGCTGCTTTAGCTTCTTCTCCATTACAGGGCATGTCATAACAGGAACGTGCTCAAAGGAGGCCTCTGTTAGTGGATTTGTGTGTGTGTGTGTGTGTGTGTGTAGCTTGATACTGACACGCACTCGCAGTTTGATCTTGCAGTTTGATGCACGACTTGAAGTTTTAATTGGGGCTTTTTGTAGGAGTAAACACCCAGGAGGCTTTGCTGTTGTCTGAGTGTTTATTTCATGTGGTGAAGTGATGCTTGTAGTGTTTAAACAGAGCTGAGTGCTAAATGACTGGTCATGGGGGTTTATTCCAGCAGGAGCAAATTTCAAGTAAATAAAAGATTTCTATGGTGCAAAGAACATCACGCTTATTACTCGTTGGCAGTGTTGTGTTAAAAGGGAATTCCGCCACTTTAAATATTTATTTTGGGTGAATATTTTCCCTGATCTTGTGTTTGGTGGGATTCCTATCAAAAACTCCTATCAAAAACCTGTATTTAGCAACTAACGGGAACCCTATTCTGTATGTCGCTATCGTGAAGATCTTAAATACCGTCTTTAACCTGTATCACCTTGTCCAAAAAACTGTTTGATTGTTGATTGAGCCATTCCAGTATGTTGTAGAGGTAAATTAATTAAGTTACCTTCAAAAATCCACAAATAAAATCAGCATAGTTCTGTTGCTGAGATGTAAACCGTCATTCATTGAAATGGTTCATTGTAGAGAAACTTTCAGACTGGTATTTGTTCACAGGGATGATGATAGGAACCAGGGGTTGCAATGTCAGCCGCACAAATAGTGATTTTATTTACTGTCCAAAACGAACAGGGACCTATGAGTTTTTATATGTAATGCTGATGATGATAAATTAGTGATAAATCAGAAAAAAATACATTTTTATTGATACTAGTTTGCCATGCAAAGCCCTGCATGCACCTCTCCACCATACATGTAATTAAGCAGTCGTGGGCTGGAGGTTAGGGAACCAGCCTTGTGACCAGAAGGTTGCTGGTTCGATCTCCTGAGCCAACAGTGCGTGACTGAAGTGCCCTTGAGCAAGGCACCTAACCCCCAACTGCTCCCCGGGGCACTGTGGAAAGGGTTGCCCACCGCTGTGCTCACTGCCCCCTAGTGTGTGTGCATTCACTAGTGTGTATATGAGTGCTTGACTGCACAGATGGGTTAAATGCGGAGGTGAAATTCCCCGTTGTGGGACTAATAAAGGGGAACTTCAAAAGCCATGTCTTTTAGGCCATAATCTTATCTCAGAACTATGGTGAAACGATGACAGACATCAGGAGGCGTATTCGTAACCATTTCATGTAATAGCTTTCTGCGAGGGAGCCTTTGTATGCATTAAACTTCTCAGACATCTGGTTCCTATCACCACCACTGTGAACAATTCTCACTCGGAACGTTTTTGTAGAGCGAAGCGTTTCATGCCACTGTAAATAACTTGGTTTATTTCTTAATTTGATTATGCAGAAATTTTGATAAAAAATTTATGAAATTCCACTATAATAGATATGCAGTCTTATACTGATTATTATACAACAGTTCGTTCCGGCCACGCGAGCTGATTGGTTGAGAAGCGTTCTATCTATCTAGAAGCGTTTTTTCCACAAACACTGTATCACTCCGCTGAGACGCCGTTGCTAAGCAACGAGTTCGACAGCTGTAGGAGACGCTCAAGCCATTTGAACGTTTTTACTTTGCGCACAAACAGAAAATGGATACTTTTAAGATCACATTTGACCGACAGCCGATTTGGTCAGACTCTGAAGATGAGACGACACTAAATTCCCAAACCGTCATCACCACTGAGCAGCTTTTCAGTCGTCAGCTGTGACAGAAGAACAGCTGAACAACCTGGAATCAGCCAGAAATGAACCCAACACCATTCGCCAAACGTGTAGTCTGATCTTCAGAGTCTGACCAAATCAGACTGAGCCATAAACTGCTGCAATAAAAACAAAAAAGCTACCGGCTCCCGAGTGGCGCAACCGTCTAAGCGTTGGCCCAATCATCAGGAGATCGCGAGTTCGATCCCTGGTGATGCTACAGCCGTCCGTAGCCGGGAGTCCTAGAGAGCACAATTGGCCTCACTCTCTCTGGGTGGGTAGGATGGCCCCTCCTTCTCCCCCCATCACTCAGCGCGATGCTAGTCAGCGCAGGCGTCTGTTAGCTGACGTAACAGATCTGGCGGTTGGCGCTTTCCTCCGAGTGCGTTCGGCTGTCCAGTGACGTTGCGTGAGCGGCAGCTTGAAAAGAAGCGGTGGTTGGCTTCACAGGTCTCGGAGGAAGCCTGTGTTAGCCTTCACCCTCCTAGCGTTGATAGCATCGTGTGATTGGGGGAGTCCTAACTAGCGGGTGGAATTGGAGACGACTAAATTGGGGAGAAAAATCGGGTAAAAATAAAAAAAAAACAAAAAAACAAAAAAAAAGCTGCTCAGTGGTGATGACAGTTTGGGAATTTAATGTAAGGAGCTGGAGAACGAACTGCCGGCTGTGCAGTGAGTGGGTGGAGTTCGTTACTCTGACGTAGCAACAAGCTGCTTGTTAAGGAACTATAATTTGATGAAGGAACTGCAACATTAAAACGTATTAAACGCCGCGTTCACGACCCAGTTTATTAATTTCTTACTTTATTTATTTAACTGTTGTATTAAAGCAATAGAACACTCGGTCATGTGTTATCGTGATTAACATCACGGCTGTGGTGATATTTTGCGATAACACACTCCCTCTTGTGTTCTATTGCTTAAATGTAGAAGCCTTGGGCATCTTTCCATACGTGAACGTCAGAGCTGTTTTTCTGAGAACATGCTAACTAGTTGGCATGCTGGCTAGCTAGCAGTCTGCAGCAGAAACAAACTTATTTTGACTGCACTTGGGGTTTAAACTGATATTACTGCCTCAAATTGCAAGAGTCTCACAAGCTCTGCTACCTCACAGTCTTCAATGAATCCAATATACAGAGCTGCCAGCTGGGTGTGACAGGCTAGCATTTAGCTTGATAAACAAGCGTCCTTACGGAAGTCCATGGGTTTATAAAAGTAGTAAACAGGTCGATTGTTTAAATGACTTCTCTGTTTTTGAATATTTGAATGCCTTAAATATTATGGAATATTTATTGCAGCCCTTATTGTGACATTTATCACGTATTGTAAAGTGTCATGGTGTTATATTTCTGCCCTGTTGCCCACTTTGTGTTTGTATGTGTGTGTGTCTGTGTCTGTGTCTGACCACAGACAGCAAAGACGAGCTCATGAGTCCGACTTCCCCTGGAAATGGGGTCATTGCTCAGCCTAAAAAGGTCAAAGGGGTCGGGTTCGGAGATATTTTCCGGGAAGGCTCGGTGAAGCTGAGAGTGCGACTGCCGTCAGAGTCTGAGGAGAAGAATGAAAAGGTAAGCTTAGTTTAATTTCACTGCACTGCATAACACAATACCAAGACTCAGGAGGCCTGCAGCACTGCACGGTTAACAGCAGGTGAAACTCTAAAATACTGTTATAATTTTAGAGCTTGTTTCACAAAAAGTCAAGTCAAGATACTTTTATTGTCATTCCATCTATGTACAAATAAAGTGGAGCGAAGTTAGGTTCCTCCGGGACCAACATGGTGCAACATGGAGCAAAAATACAGTACAGACAAACTGCAAACGTGCAGACGTAAGTGTGCAAACATTAAACTAGAAACAATACAATAAATAAAACAGACTTTAGACACAGTAAACAGACAGGACAGCGCAGCACCGACACAGCACTCATTTCTGAGCATGAGGTAGTGAGAACAAGGTGCAGAGATATTTAACATGCTGTGATAAGTAGGTATACGCAGTCAAATTATGACATATGTGAGCACAGCAGTTACTGAGGTAGAAATATACAGTACTTGAGTAGAATACAGTATTAGCAGCAATGTTCCAGATAGCACAATAACATGAGTTTCTTATCCGGATCATATGTGGATGTACTTTGGCTGTATTCCATTTACACTATTCAATAAATTGTGTCCTGAGTGTGACCCGATGAGGTTTTTTCTTTCTGGTAGCTTAATGTAAACATAGTTTCTCACCTGTTACTACCAGTGTATTAAATACTGTCAAATACTGGAAAAAAAACCATTTAAAACCAGAAACTGCTTGTCTGCGTTGGTGGAGGGGAAGGCTTCGTGTTGCAGCTGCTGAGATTTCTGCAATGGTCAGCTTCACTACTGCCCAGAGGACACGAAAGAGAAGTGAAGGCTTATGTTACTGTATGCGGATGTAGAAAACGCATTCCATTTACACTTTTTTGAATGTGTTGAATTGTTTGAGGGATCCAATCACAGTCTGATCACAATGCATCCTGGGTGCATTTAGAACTGACTTTTGTGGGGTCAGATTGTTTGGTGCACAGTGTAAACAGCCTCATAGTGGCTGCTATATTCTAGACTACTTTCCCTCAATAGGAGCTTGTTGCACTACAAAAACTGGCCTGTCAGTCACTGGATTTCAGCACAGTCGTACCATCTACTATAGATTTGTTCTGAGTCTGTGTGTTTTCTGTTCTTGTGCTAGATAAAGGGAAACTCATTGAAATTAAAGTGTGTGGTAATCAACCATGCACTGTATATACTACAGAAAACGCTGAAAGCGCTGGAGTATTCCTTTAAAGGGCCCAGATTGTGCATTTTTCTTTCATTTTTATATTTTACAAATAAAAAATAAAGTATAAAAATATTTTCCAGTCTTTCTTAATCCCTTAGAATTAAACCTGCTGTTTTTGTTACTGTGCCTTTAAAAAGTAACTACACACCACTATGTTCAGCTAACTCCACCCCTGCCTCAGCTTGAATAAAGTGCTCAAAAATGGGAGGGGCACTGCAGTAATCTACGGGTTTGGAGGTGGGGCTGCTAGGAAAACCAGGTGGGCTGGGCCACTGTGGAGAGTGACAGAAGCAAACGGCACTTTTGCAACTGAGAGGTCTGAATGGCAGAACATTCCCTAAAACTGTGACAGCTTCTAATTATCTGTTCAGCAGGTCCACATTCAATATAACCTGAGTCCTGATTTCTTAGATGCACTGAATTCCGAATGAATGAAGTGGATTTCTTTGAACTGTCTAAGATTCGTTCAGTTTGACATCAAGGTCACAGACTGCATCACCAGTCAGCCGGGGTTGCTGCAGTGGCCCTAAATCCTTACGTTCTGCAAGCTGTTCATGACACTTGCTGGTGTTGCATCCGGTTCAGTTCCCAGTCAAATTCCCGTTTCCCTTGGTCACCACACTCACTGAACAGAAATCGAAGACAAGCAACATTGGAACTACGGAAAGCGGGAAAAAAGTTTGAGAAAGGCTGTACGGACGAAAGGTTGACAGTCAGTAACAATGGCCATTTAACATTAACCTTTCCTGAACCGTTTTGCTTTCCATAGTTCCTGTGTTGTTTACCATTGATTTCTGTTCAGTGAGTCGCACCCGAGAGTTTGAGTTGTGAAGGGAAACATGAATCGGATGCACCACCGGCAGCTTTATGGAGACTTGCAAGAATCCTCACTTAATCAGTACAGACAGCTGGCAAATATGGCTGGCTTTCATATTTGAGTGCGGCACAAGTTGGGCGTCACCAGGGGGCGGTAACGTTGTTTGACTGATTTGCATACTGTGACATGACTGAAGTACCAAGACACATCTTCCACGCCTATAGCAGAGTTGAACCAGATGGGCGCTGCAGAGGCAGAGCTGACCACGATAAAAATGATGTTTTTACAGTTTGGAAAGATGTTTCACATTTTAAGCAAGGCTGGTGAATTTTATTATTACAGAGCAATGCGTTTCATCTGGTCTTAGGGTGGAGTTACTCTTTAAAACTGATATATGTAAGCAATCTTTGTTCTGATTGGCTGCCCTGTATTGAGCTGCATTCAGAAAGCAGTCCAGGCTGAAACACTCCTTTTACCTTCACCATGAATGGGTGGGGCTAAACCTCTGCAGGCTGAATGGGTGGATATACATAATTGTGACAAACAGTGATTTCAACATGGTTGTTTTTGCGTTTTAAAACTTTAAAAACGTTCACATACCACATCAAAGGCTTTTATTTTAAGAAAGCAAGGAAAAGTCAGTTTTCCATAATAATAATAACATGGGCCCTTGAAGCAACTGCAGTTTAGTGTGTGATGGTCATATATAATCTCTTCTATCCTGAGCGCTGCTTACTCCATATAACTGTGGCTGCTGGAGCAGAGAAGAGTAATTACAGGTGCAGCTGCATTACTGGAAGCCATGCCAATGTTTGCTCAGATCCTGGGAGTACTGCAAGGCAGCCGGTTCCATTGTGATCCCTTCCTTTTGCAACGCCGCCTCATTTCTGGAGATCATTGTTAAAGGTGGCTATTTCCCAGCTCTCAAGCATGACCCACTTTTTTGGCTCCCTTATTTCTGGCTTGCACATGTGACTGCACTTCTGGAGCAGAATGCATATTTTTGAGAGTTTTTTTTTTTTCTATGTGCACCAGACCAAACCCTGGCGTTGTTTTTGTGAGTTGTGTAGCAGCGTCAAGTAAACACATCCGCTTAGACACAACATGCCAATAACAGTTATGTTAACAGACTTTGTCGAAATGAGTCAGAAGTGGTGGACTGGCAGCATGCCTGAAAGGTGAAAATCTAAATTTCAGAGGAAGCAAAAACAACACAAGGATTTTTTTTTTCTCATGGCATCAAGGTTCACCTCAAAAGCAGAAGTACTGATCTAGAATTAGTCTCCCTGACCACCATAAATATGGAGCAATCTAATCAGAGGTCAGTTCTGTAATCTAACGATAATCTGCAGATTTTTCAAACTGAATGCTCTCATCATCGGCAGGTAAGCCTCAGATAATTGGCTAGCCATGCAAACTTTGTAATCCAAAACGTTTTTGAAAAGTTTAAATGTATAAATATATGAAATTGGTGGACAGTTGCTTTGTCTGTCTGTAAATGTGCCGTAGAGCCGTGGTGGAGTGCCTTTCTTTTCGGTGTCGTTAGCCATGTAGCCTTTAGCATGCTGACTATCCAACTAGCAGAGGAAAGTAGTGAAGTTGAACCAGCCGTCATGTATAAGAGAAGTAGTTTGCAGCCTAAAGCCCAGGAAATTGAATGTTATGGTTTTGAGATGTTACGAATTTTAAGTATTTTATTGCCGCAGCGTAGAAACAGCTTTCTCTGCCCTTATTTTCAGGTTTTAAAAAGGTCAGCACTGATTTCTGGGCAAGCTCTGCTGAAGTCAGCGCTTCACTTCACCCCACCCCTCAAAGAGCTCATCTAAAACCCTTTACTTTAACTAATAAAGTAAAGGGTGTAATGGAGGCTGAAGAACGACATTTTGTTCCAATGTATACAAGTTATATCAAGGAAAGACTGCTTGACTTGCCTTGAATTTCCTGGGAAATGAAAAGGCCAAGTGGACAATGGTATGGTAAAACTGATATTGAAACAAGCAGCTGGTCGGTCAAGATACTGTAGGGTAAAAAGTGCCTATTAATAACTTAAATAATGAGTATAGATAAAAGAAATAAGTATTCTTTTTTGGTGACAGTTTAAACTTTAAAAACAATGGCAAATAGATAGCGGACTGCTTTCAGAGATCAGTCGAGGACTAACTGGTAAAGCAATAAATCGGTAAATAGTGAACTGTCCTTCTTAAACAATAAACCTCGCCTTCCTTCCAGTCTTTCTTTGTTCGTGACCGTGAAGTGTGTGAACGTTGGTTTTTAATGTAAGGTTTTGTCTAATCCTGACCCCACTGGTCCAAGCATTTTACCCCATGGTATGACTCATTTAGTGTATATGACTGCATGCATGTGTGTGTCTTTGTGGCTGCCATGACATTAAACCCATCTATGCTTCTGCTTCATTTCAGCCGATCCCATCATTACCATCTGCTGCTAAGCCTACCCATTTGAGCACGCCAGATGCTCAGAAAGTGGAGAAAGATGGGGAAAGCAAAGGAAAGGGTAAGTGTCTGGCCTGCATGCCATCATACTACCATCATAGTACACATTTACACTTTTAGAGCTCAGAATAAAAGACACTTGCGTTTGAGTTTTGGTGATTGCTGAGTTATAGGCAAAAATTAGGCAATTACAAACTGAATTTTTTAGGAAAAAAGCAATGTATGGTTAATGCCCATGTATACTAGGGATGTGCAGAGATGCGCAGGTACTCAGGTACTCAGTTTACCACTCCAGGTGCCAGTATTCGAATATTGTAATCAGTATTTGGGCATTTCCTACATTACAGTACAGGAAGACAGAAAATATGCAAGCCATATATTTTGTGAAGTGGTGATTTTTACTGTGAAATGTGACAGTTTCCCTTGTATTTGTGAGTGTGTATATTATTCTGTGTATATTATTCTGTGTATATTGTATTAACTGTGTATTATTTCATTATAAACTTTAAAAACCTTTGGTAAAAGAAAAGTGAGAATACAAAGATTAAACTTAAATATGGCCTTTTTCTCTAAATTTTAGAGCTCAATATCTATTTAAAATGTGCCATAACTTTTGCACAGGCTGCATTGTTTTTTCTCACATACATTAAATTCAGCAAATAAACAGTAACTATTTGTGAAAACCTTGTAGAGCAGCAGTTCTCACTATTTTATTTTATTATATTATTTTAAGGGACGTTGTGGACAGTAAGTGCCGCTGCCCACCTTTAACTTTTTACCATTCATAATTGCAATAATGTAGTTATTGATAATAATCTATCAATAAATAAACACCCCTTGTTTAGATTTGGCTGAAACTGACAAAATAGAAATGCCCAGTAGGAAAACAGCTTCTGAGATTTTTCTGCTGAGAACTACTGGTCAGCTATGACAGAATTTGGGTGAAAACTTGTCACGTAGACATTTGACCACACCACGTTGAAAACACGTCCATTGTGTAATATTTGTGAACATTCTTTTCTGGTTAAGTCAGTCTGTGTTATGATATTGGAGGTGTGGTGTGGTCAGGTTGTTAAAGGTTACTGCTGTGAGTTTGCAGTTTGGAAATAATGAGGCTTTTGAGAAACATTTTTTTTAGAAATGCACAAATTTCATGCATGCTTCTCCTAAAATAGCTGGTTAGTGTTGTTATTGGCTCTGTTTGTACTCAGTCTCTAACAGAGAAATAAGTAATATTTCAGGCATTTCACAATGACAGCGAAGTATAGTGAATAGTAAGAGTAGCAGAGTTCATCAGAACATAGCAAAGCAAAGCCCTCTCGTATTAAAATTGGATCATTTTAGGCATTATATAGAGTTCTTATATAATTTGTGACATTACACAGTGTAATTTGTCCTCTGTCTCAGTTTTTATTTGGTAATTATAGACATACATTACATACATTCTTATGGTGTAGAGCCTTTACACATATATTGTCCATTTTGATTGTATATGACACGCTAATGTGTTAATCCTTCTTGTTTACAGTAAAGGAATACTGCAAGGCCACCTTTAATTATGAGGCTTTGAATCAGGATGAGCTGGAATTTAAGGAAGGTGACATCATTCATTTACTGAGTAAGGTGAGTTGAACAGATTGACTGACTCTGGCTCTGAAAAAAACAGGAGATATTACAACCCCGTTTCCAAAAAAGTTGGGACGCTGTGCAGAATGTAAGCAAAAATAGAATGCAATGATATGCAAATCATGTAAAATACTACAAAGACAACATATCAGATATTGAAACTAAGAAATTGTATTGTTTTTTGAGAAATATATGCCCATTTTGAATTTAATGCAGTGATTTCCACTACAGAATCATGTCTGTTTTTAATGCAGTGCTGCCTGAGATCACAGCCAGCAAATACTGGTTTTTGGCCTTGTCCATTACATACAGAGATTTCTCCAGATTCTCTGATCTTTTAATGTTATTATGTACCGTAGATGATGAAAAGAACAGTTCTTTGCTATTTTATGTTGAGAAACGTTATTCTTGAATTGTTGCGCTATTTGATTGTGCAGTCTTTCACAGAGTGGTGAACCCCTCTTCATCTTTACTTCTGAAAGACTCCGCCTCTCTGAGATGCTCTTTTTATATCCAGTCATGTTACTGACTTGTTGCCAATCAACCACCAGGTGTTTTTTTTCAGCATTACCCAACTTTACCAGCCTTTTGTTGCCCCGTCCCAACTTTTTTGGAATGTGTTGTTGACATCAAATTCAAAATGGGCATATATTTTTCAAGAAACAATAAAATTTCTCAGTTTCAACGTTTGACATGTTGTCTTTGTACTATTTTCAATGAAATGTAGGGTTTAAATGATTTGCACATCTTTGCATTTGGTGTTTATTTACATTTTGCACAGCATCCCAACTTTTTTAGAAATAAGGCTGTAAATATTACTTGAGCTACAACTAGTAATTACTTGTGTTTTTGCACAATAGTCTTTCAAATCGTGTTTACGAAAAACCAGAAGGGCTTTTATCAAGGGCATCTTCTGCACTCCTCTTGAAAATGAAATGAAATTAGTATGAAAGGTGCAAAAACAAAGTAACGCATTATTTTTGTTTGCATTGTTGTGTAATGGAAATGTTATTATTCTTTCTTTCTTGGCCATTTGTGGGTCATCTCCTGGCTCAAGCTAAGTGTCCCTCTGAAGTAGTTAAATGATGTTACCACTCAGTGTCACTACATGCTGCTCTCCTAAGTCCTGATGACCGCTAGTAGCCACAGTAATATTGCTCAGACTTGCTTGTGTAAGCATGGTGCTGAGTGGACGGGAGAGCAGCAGCCTTCTCCAATAGCAATAAACAGTAGAAGAAGGATCTGAAGTGGGAGGAAGATGAAGTTCTTTGTAATGCTATGCTTCCTGTCAGCGTAAACTTTCTCAGACGTCTGGCTCTTCAGGTCTCCTGTGATGATAGAAAGCATTGGTGGTCCTCAGGGCTACCTGACAATAGACGGCCAGTCAGTATGAGTGGATTGTTATTGCATAACATCTTTCACTGCAATTCTAAACCCTACAAGTGTGACATTCTAGGTATTTGTAAATCACTTGTCAACAAGCTTGTTTTCTTTTACTGACAAGTGATTTTTACTGACAAGCAGTCAAATTATTTACACTTTAACTCCACCTTGTGGCCAGCGCTGGAACTACAGCTCTAATTCCAGCCTTATAGGACATTTGGAATGGCTAGATGTGCTAATCACAAAGATTCAATGTATTGTTTTATTGTGGTTATCACTATTCAGGCAGCATGTTGTTTAATCAACAATTGATAAACAGTTTGCCAGCCTGAGATGTTTGCTGACTCTCTCTGTCTGACTGTTTTAGGACACTGGGGAGCCTGGCTGGTGGCGAGGAGAACTGAATGGCAAAGAGGGAGTGTTCCCTGACAACTTCGTGGTGCTGATTCCAGAGACGGACAAAGAGGTAAAGTGCTAGTAATGAGTGCAGCACCATATGTTCTCTACGTTCTCCCTTGACAGCTAATTATCCTGCCTATGCTGGCCTTATTTTTGTCTTTATTATCCTTTAACCTATATAGTGCAGGCCTGGTGTGATGCTCTACTTAGAATGAGCGTCATTCACTTTCACTGGGCAGCAGTTTGCAGTATTGTCCTGTTCCGTTAAATTGTTTTTGATGGTGTTCACTGCTGTGTAATTTTCTTGAGACAGAAAACACTGACCACTGTGTTTTGCTTCTAGTTTTAAAGAGTATTTAAAAAGCGTCTTTCATGTTGTTTAGACACCTGTATCCAGAGGCTCCGTTAAGCAGTCTGCCAAACAAGAACCTGAAGAAGTAAGGAAGCTTCTTTGTCTTACGATTTAATTACATTAACCTCTTATTGACCAGGGTATATTTTGGTTTTTCCATCTGAATTTACATGACCAAATCGTAAGGCAAATTATTCAGTAACTGCATGAAATAAATGTAAATTTTTAATTTATTTATTTATTTATTTTTTGTAAAAGCTCCACTCAACTTAACAGAAAATGTGTGTTATGATCACACACGTATTACTATATGCTTACAATTTACTGCTGAAAGCCCAAAATCTTAGACGCTCTTTGTATTATTTTATAAAAATAATTTTTACAGAGCAGATCACTGAAGAGACGCCATCTGTTTATAGTTTACAGTCCAGATTTGTGGAAAAATGGGTCGACTTTCAGTAGAACAAAAAAAATCAGCTTCTTTTATTATAAGGGTTTAAAATTACATCTCCCATCTATTTGACTGGAAAGAAGACAGTTACAGCTCTCATACGACCCCCACCTTCTGAATGTAGCTTATGAAATATGAAAGAATATGATGAAGTGCGTTTTGGAACCACTGATGGTCTCAAGGAGTTGAAGAGGTTAATTTGCCTTACTAGAAGTGTAAACAAACAAACAAAAGGATTTCCATAAGAATGTACTGTTGTGGAATTGCTAAGCTAATACAATAACTAGGATTGAGCACTGTAGACTTTCCCTAAATATTACCGTGGTAAATGTTGGACAGTTTCACAGAACATGTTTGATTCTACCTGAAGCTACACTGACAGTTTAGATGATAATGACTTAAATCTGAGGAAATTAAACAACTGGTGTTGGAGGGACAGCAAAAATCTAAAATTAAGCCTTTGTGTTTAAATGTGTAGCCTGCTGGCTAACCTAACATTAGTGTACCAAGCAGGCTACAAATCTAAACAGTGCCACACATGAAAGTACAAGACTTAAGTTTATAGTTGTTAGCCTTTGATAAGCCACCTGCTGACTGGTTTATCCAGGTTTGTTGGCTGTCTCATTTTTCATTTGGCCAGTTCACTAAACTCATGGCTAGCACTGGCTATTTTCCTCTCTTTTTATTAGCTAATGACACCACCAATCTGTGAGCTCGCACACCACCAATCAGTGAGCTCGCACACCACCAATCTGTGAGCTCGCACACCACCAATCTGTGAGCTCGCACACCACCAATCTGTGAGCTCGCACACCACCAATCTGTGAGCTCGCACACCACCAATCAGTGAGCTCGCACACCACCAATCAGTGAGCTCGCACACCACCAATCCTTGAGCTCGCACACCACCAATCCTTGAGCTCGCACACCACCAATCTGTGAGCTCGCACACCACCAATCTGTGAGCTCACACACCACCAATCAGTGAGCTCGCACACCACCAATCAGTGAGCTCCCCTAATAACTTCGTAAATTGGCAGATTGGGTATATTTGGCAGTTTACTAGATTGACGCAGAATAAAATTTCTCAATACTGTTGTAATTTTTCAAATGCTGCGGTCTATCTTATTATCCTACATTGTCATACCATCCAGCCCTAATAATAACTGATCATTAACACCCTTTCTGGCTTGTAGAGTTATCAGTAACTGATATTGATTTGCATTTTAACATTAGAATCTGACATGATGTTTTTTCTGACATTGACACTTCATGTGAACAAATTTTCAGGGCCACCTTAAGTGGCTGGTGAATGTAACATTAGGAGTCTGTAGTTCTCACTGATAAAGCAGTGGATTTCCTGCTTGAAAGGGGAATCATACCACCAATCCCCTGTACATGGGACAGTGGTCTGTGTATTAAAGTGAGCTGAAAAGAAAGGAAATGCCCAGCATTAAATACTAAATAATTTAGTAATTAGTTATCGGCAGTAATTTCAATATTAGACCAGTAAAAATTATGACGTTTTCGCATTTATCAGTGAATAATATAACAGCCAACGATATATCATGAATACCCAGTTTTACACACCTACTTCTCTCTGTTTTGTGGCCTCCACTGTTGCCTTTAACTTGCTTATCATGAACTATCAGTGATTACTTGTTTGATAGAGGTCCCTGTATCATATGATCCACAAACGCTTAAAGCCTAGCTCTCCAGTTGAGATTTTTCAGGTCATCGAGCTCATCCCCGGAGGGGCTCTCCAGCCACCCCATGACAAAACATTGGAGGGACCCGACTTTTGTCACTGGCGCTTGTTATTGTTGTTAAGCAGCAAAACTATATCCGGAGAAGAACTGGAGAGATTGTGTGAGCAGTGGTTTCGCTCCTTCATGTCCTTTTAGCAGCGAGGCTGCGTAAGCCCCACCCAACACTCAGAGGGGTCACGGGGTGATACGCTCGTGGGCATAAAGGGTGGCGACTTTCGCCCTAATCAGCCTGAATGTGTGTCTTTGTGCGGCTTTGGCTGTTTCAAGCGGGAATGTGACGAGCTGAAGCTCATGTGATGGCGAATGACGGCAGGGCCCACAGTTCACAGAGCCCAGAGAGGCACTCAGTGCTGCAGAACTGGATGCGGAGAGCAGACAGACGTACCTCCGGTTGCTCTAAATTAAGGCATGTGACGAGGGGGCTCATAAAAGGAAGTATTGTCTTTAGTGAAACGAGTCAACCGTGGTGTATAAACAGTATTATCGTGACCCTTTCAGATAGCTGTGCCAAGGAAATGTGATGAGGATGTTGGTGCTTTACACATCAGACTCAACACATCATAGCTTGGTTAAGGTGAATGGATATTGGCTGAGGAAACAACATCGCCGCATTTGCGCGCTATTAATAATAATAATTAGGGGTGAAGCGATGTTCTTAGCTGGTGATTCAATTCAGATCTCGATACTGGATACGCAATTCTGTGTTCTCACGATATTTTGAACACTGTTTGAAGAAAAGTGATGACTGTATCCATATTATTGAACAGCATACTTACGAGACTAAAACTTGGAGACTTAAAGCATTAAAATTGCTGGTGTGGGTTAACATGATTACAAGCTTTGTTGTCCAGTGCAGTTGCAATGAATGAGCCTACTAAGTAGAATGCAGTTAATATTGACCCATGATGCACATATAAGACTTTTGCATCTTGGTCTATTGTGTCATGATGTGCTTATTGTTAGATATTGTTATGCATTCATAGAAATGCAATTGAAGGTGCTTCATGAGAAGTATGCACAAGTGATAGAATAACAAAAATGCTGGAAGTGCATTGATGTAGCATTAAAAAAAACAAAACAGATGCTTTTGAAAGTCAGAAAATGGGGTGAAAACAAGTGCTTTTGCCTTTATTCAGGTACATCTCGTTATATACTGCTGCTGTCACTCAAGAAGGATAAAATGCCATAGTGTCAATTTATATCATGTTATAATTAAAGTTTCTGACAGCTTCGATATATAATCATGGTGTGTATATAGATTTCTTTCAAATAAAAACATGTAAGATGCTTAAGGAGACCTATTTTTGAAGGTTAACAGTGACTTTAAATTCTTTCACTTTTTAGTTTCACTTTAACAACCAAAGTAAACCTATAATATTTTACTGTGCAAAATAGTAAAGACAAAGCAAAACGTTACATAGATAAATCAGTAGTGTTTTATAACACTAGCCTCGCTGACCGGGAAAAAAAACGATTATTTCCACAAAGCTGAAGCTGTTTTTTTATTTGCTAGTTTTCACCTTGAATTTTTTTGAAGTTAGATTCTGGCGCATGTTTTGGTGTAGTTCACCATTTAAGATGGAAGCCAAATTCAAATTTCTCAAGTTATTCGTCAGATTTCTCAACTCCGATGCGTTCCAAATGCCTCTGATCGTCACATCCTGCTTGAATTTGGGAAACATTACAGTCGTTCACGTTGTCGTTACCAGCTGATCCACTGCGGCCTAGTCTGAGGCGGCTGACTGAGTCGTGTGACAAATTTTAGGCAGTATGAGAGGAAACAGAAGCACTCTGGTGTCCATTTTAGGCTACAGCTAACCCCAGAAGACCAAGAGGGAACGAGATCTCATTAGCTTCGCCTCCCCGTCACCGCCACTGTTCGGCAGCTCGGCCAGCCAGGTCAAATATAAAGTAAATTGAAGTGGCTTCACTGCGGGATCGGAGGCAGCGCCCAGGAGAGAGGGGGCTCGGGGCTTGCTCGCCGCCCCCCGCTCACTCGCTGTTTTCCTCTCCGCGCCGTCCTCGCATGGGCATCATTCCCGCTCAGAGTTCAGACCCTGCCTTCCTGCCAGCTCTCGCGGCCATCGTCGGGGCCCAGGGGACAGGCGCATGCCATAGTGGACCATTTCAGACGCAGTGGGAGATGATCACAGTGGGAGATGATCGAGCGACTGTTGTGTTTTCAATTTAATTTGAAACGTGACTAAAACATCCTTAACTCAGTCATTTGGCGAATGTTGGCATGGTTTGCACATTGTCATCTGCGTAGCACACCAGTATAACAGTTATGAGAAGATTTGGGAACACGTAAATCAGTATATTGAATAAACTGGTATACAGGCCACTAGTGCTTCATCTGCGTCTGCTTTGTGTGTGTGTGTATTTTTTATTTTCTTTTTAGATTTTATTTTTCTTGAGTTGCTTATTGTGCTGTTTACAAGAAGTAAATAAAGTGTTATTCCAGATGGAGATGCTGCAATTAACTTGGTGTAATCTTAAAACATTTTGACAAAAGAATGTAATATGAGCAATTATTACTCTCACAAGTTTGGCAGCAATTTAGCGTCAAAGTGGACTGGAATGAATTGAACCCTTTGCAGAAATGGTGCGTCACAGCAATTTGTCCTTCTTTTATTTCTTTCTTGTTGTTTATCTTGTTTATGCTGCTGTTTCCTGTCCTTTCCATTGTGAAGAAAACCTCACATTGAGAAATGAATGATCTTTTACACAATGTGAGAAGCATTCGTTGAACAAAAGAGGCAAAAGAGAAACTCCCCCGAAAGTTTTTGCTTGTCGTTTATAGACGTGTGGCAGATCTTTGTTTCCTCCAGCTGAACTGGCAGGGACTGCTTCAGTGTTCACATTGATTTCTTGCCTGGTTCTTTCTGCTTCCTCGCAGCAGTGTTTTGTCCACATTTTCAGTGCAGTGCAGTGCAGCTGCTGCTGTGAAAATCCTGCTCGCTTTATTTGTATTTCCCCAAATGGCCTGAGGTAGATCTTTCTGATAAATTGCTTTACTCAGTATTAGCTCATGAAAGGGGGTTATCAGTATTTGACTGCAACCCTTGATGACCGGATTATTGAAATTACATAACTTTATAAGCATAATAGAAGTCTTCTGCAGCTTCCTAGAATTTGGTGCACACTCCTTTGAGACTGTTTGACCGTGTTTGTACAAGCATTCTTTGTAAGAGTTCTGTAGTGATATTTTTTATTACATAAACTAAATTAATGGGATTAGGTGATCATAAATTACTTGTAAGCTAACTTGCATATATGTGTCTTAGTTGAAACTAAGGGTCTTAGCGCAGAACTCACAGCAGTGGGTCAGAAAACCATCACCTCCAAGGAGCCTTAAGGCAGGGTGATGAGCTGTATCTAATATTCAAATCATAAACATCAAAGAGGTGCGTGCTTCTTCCACCAGTATCAATAAAATATCTCCACATTGGCCGAGATAACGTATGATAAGGAGCACAGCATGAGCTGTGTTTTGAGTCAGGCTCTGCAGGCCTTTGAAATCCCCCTCATGCAGTGTGCAGTGCACTAAAACAGCCAATTGAGCACCCACAGACCTCGTCCACTGACGCATTTCAGAGACCAAATAGAGAGATTTTCCAGCAGTGACCCCTTCACCCGCCGATTTGCTGTCATTTTTAAGGAACTGTTGTTTACTGAGCCTTGAAATCTGCTTCTTCTTTAGAAATTGTCTTTTGTTTGTGAGCAAGCTCCTCTGGTTCTTTGCAATCCTTGACTAAAACCTGACATTTATGCTTCAGATAAGAAGATCTAAAAACGTTAACTGGGTGAAATACAGCATGTAAATTTCTGTCTCTTTCTGTTTCTCCACAGAAACCAAAGAAGCCACCACCACCATCCAAATCCACAGGTATGTTGTAGCTACACTAGGGTCCACACGTCTGAGCCTGCTACTAAGACATGTTTTAATTACATCACTTACCAAATACTGTCGCTGAAGCAGCGCTATGTCACTCCACAACACGGAGAATTGATGATACTGTAGATCAGACAAAACACAAAAGCACCGCTTTCAGTTTAAACGTACCTAAAAAGAGGACTGTGTTTGTCTGGTGTTGATATATTGCGGTTCACCACTTAAACTACTACGATAGTATAGAGAAATCCTGTTGTCGTTAGCTGGTGTATGAATTCTGTGATGTCATTTGTAGCGGAGTAGCCGAGCGCTCGTCACCAGCTAAAAATAATCTGTTTTCTTTCTTAAATTATGACTATGAATTATGAAAAAATTTTTCCAGCAGTTAAAAACAGCTCACCAGAAACTTTCTCCCACTCTCCCATGACAGATTTGTGAAATGTTCCACCGTTCGGCGAGTGTTTATCGTGTTCCGACCATAAAGGATAGTTCAAACAGCGATTAACCACCCAGGAGCAAAAATCAGCCTTCAAATTTGAAAGAAATAATGATTTGTCATTTATCACGATATGTATCGATATCGAACGATATGAATTTTGTTTATCGTGATAGCATTTTTGGCCATATCGCCCAGCTCTACGTTGAAGGTTACATTTTTTTTTATTTGCCTCAGTTTTTTCACTGTTTGTGAATCATATTTTGAGAAAACAGTTACCAGAAACTCACCCCTTTGAACGTGTTTGGAAACATTCAGAAAAGGAGAAAGGCTGTGACGTCTCAAGACAATCTGGACTGCTATAATAGACAACTAGAGCAAATAGTGTAGAGCAGTTGCTTTAATGAGTTCATTCAAGTCCTGATTGGAGACAGTTCAATGACCATCACATGCAGGAAGCTGTCGCTGATGGTAAATTATTGGCTGCAGTCAGCAGGTGAGGGGTGATTAACTCAGCAGTGTAGCTTCGAAGACCAGAAGTGGGCACACTAGGCGGTAATTTATACCACCGAGTTATTTATGGATTCAAGCGGCTTCCTGCCAACAATCGTCCGACCGTGGAAGCAGCATTCCGTTAATTCAGACCTGCTGGTCTGTCTATTTAGACCTTTTGAAAATCTTAGCAACCGTTCTTTTGTGGGTGCATTCCAATTCATTTACTTTAAGTCTCCATAGGGAGTCTGCAAAGACAACTGTTATGTTAGAAGACCAAATTACATAATGCAATGCTTAATGTCTTGCCAGCGACACGTTCTGAGACGTTCTGGGTGATGTCGTCTTTCACCATTTAAGCAGACACAAGAATGTAGCTGTTTCTAAACCATTTTATCTGCTCTTTTCTGTTAATAACACGTTTTCTGAAAGCTGTTGTTGGGTTATTTTGATATACACAGAACATGATCTATATGATCATGATCTAAGATATGGAGATTTTCAGTTCATGTCACAATTTTTGTAGTTTATATATAAACTTCACACAGTGAGTGTGTTTACATACACTCAATAATCCGATCACAATCGGATTTCTGCGGTTATCCGAATATTCAGATGGTCACGTAAACACCATACTCCGATCTAGAAATCCGATTAAGAAATCCGATTAAGAGGGATTTTAGCTCAGTAATCAGAATTCTCAGTGCATGTAAACTCTTACTCTGATTTCTTTCGGATTTCTCAGTCTGCGCATGCACGAGAACGTTTGCCGGTACCGGAAATAAGCGAGCAGCGTTGCCGTGGGACACAGCATACCACTTTTGGAGCGGTGCTGAAACCAAACATAAAATAAGGAATTTAGATATTCTTCATCTTCTACATGATGTATGTTTTTTTAAGTAAATTGGTGATGTATTTAAAACAAAATAGCTGCAGCATGAAGTTCGAGTTCTTCGTTTTGTTTACGTCGCGGCTTCTTCTGTAAGCAGAGCAGAAATCTGATTACTTTCTGAGTCATGTAGACCCAGAGTTTCCCCATTATCTGATTACACAAGTGCATGTAAACGCATTGATCGGATTAGTGACAAAATCAGATTTTCTGCAGTTATCGGATTATTAAGTGCATGTAAATGCACTTATTGATCGTACTCTATCAGTATTTTATTTTGTGACAAATGATTGTGACATCATGATTTTTGGGATATAAAACAGGGTAGTGCCCAGTGCTCTGATTCTACATGTTGAAATGAATATGATTTTACTGTAGCCAACAGGAAAGTGCATGCAATGTATTTCCTCTGTCTGCTCAGATTTTTCCACCAAAGCAGTAACGGATACATTAGCAAACTGTGTCATCAGGTAGAACTACAGCATTTTGTGTATTACTGTTTTCTATCACCATGTAAAAGAAATACAATGCTGCCTTTTTTGTTAGATGCACTGCAGTGGTTTCTAAAGGGAGTGTGCGAGCACATTAGGAATGCAGTTTGGCGTGGAAGGCTAGTGGCCATAAATTAGCACGACTTAATTTGCTAATTGGTATTCACTTTTATTCAGTATCAGCAACATCAGTGTTTTTTGTGACTGGGCTGTTTCTGTAAAAGGGTAGTTTATTCAAAAATTCAAAAGGGTAAATTTATGTTTTATGCCATCATAAAAAAAAATCGTTAAATAAACCACTGTCGTGATTTAATAAGGGGCAACTGTTGTTTAATGGCTGTAATATGATTAGAGGACCCGTTGCTGCTTTTTTGTACTTTTGCCTCATTTTATTCATAGTTTCCCTCTCAAAGCACCAAAAACTAGGAGTAGGTTATAATAATGAAGCTCTATTCTTATTTCCCAAGGCTGATGGCTGATTGAATACGGACTGCGCTATTTTAACGCTTTTGAAAGTAGTTACTTTTTGTGCTAACATTGCTGCCATTGTTAATGAGAGAAAAGCGCAAGTTTATCATACACATGTTTATCGACCTCAGTGAAAAGGAATATTTTGTGAACACCTGCCATGTCATGTTGTTCTTAATCGGATGAAGACAAGGAGTGTGTTTACATGCACTTAATAATCCGATAACTGCAGAAAATCAGATTTAGTCAGTGAACCGACCAACATGTTTACATGCTCTTGAGTAATCAGATGATGGGGGAAACTCTGGGTCTACGTGAGTCAGACAGCAATCAGTGTCCTGCTTAACAGCCAGTAAATAAACTCACCGAAGAAGACGTGACGTAAACGTAACATACAAACATAAAACTCGAACTTCATGCTGCAGCTTTCGCACCACTTTCACCTGAAAAAATGAACATGCATCATCTAGAAGATGAATATTTAAATCCTTCATTTCGACGTGAATGTAGTCAGATTCAGTGTTTTGCTGCGTCTGGCAGTGCTGCTTTCTTATTTCCAGTACAGCAGTCTGTTTCATGCATGCGCAGACTGAGAAATCCGAAAGAAATCAGAGTAAGAGTTTACATGCACTGAGAAATCAAATCAAAATGATTACTGAGCTAAAATCCAGCCTCTTTATTGGATTTCTTAATCAGATTTCTAGACCTTACTCTGTTTGTGACCATTTGAATAATCAGATAACTGCAGAAATCCAATTATGATCGGATTATTGTGTGCATGTAAACACACTCAGTAAAAATAACAACCAGCTGGTTTTAGGAGAACTTTGAACTGATATTTCCTGAAATTGTTTGTATATTTTACACTCATCAACGTCTCTTAAAAGCAGGTTTTGTCTGAATAATGATTTGGCCGTTTTCTTAACTGTTTAGCTCTGCAATTACTACGTTACTGAAGCTACTTGTTACTTTGTTTGTGTTACGGCTTCTGTTACAGAAACATCACAGCCATTTTGATGCACTGCATAGAGCTAAGAAGGTGCACTTACCACAAGTCATACAGCTCCTAATTGAGCACTCAGTAAAATTAAACAGGGATTTTACAATATCATGCAGATTCTAAATGCACTCAGCACAGAATTCAAGTTCAGCTCAAACCACCAAACGAAAGTTTCAAAACAGATCAAAATAATTACTTATTATACACTGAATCATATGTATTCAGTTATATGTATACTCATTTTTATTTGTGTTAAAATATATTATTTTCCCCAAATTATTTTCAAAATAATCCTACACTTTCTCAAAGAGTAATAACTTATAATCTAGTTATTAGCCATAATTCTGACATACTATATCAAAACCTCAAGAAAATAAGTCATTATTTTAAGCTGTTGAGCTATAGTTTGAACCAGAACCAGAAAGCGTTTTGGCTGTGTCCCAGTGTTTAGTGTGTAGTGCTATAGTATGCCCTTTGGGACACAGCCTTTTCTTCCTAGCCATCTTGCGAAAATGGGCTTCCATACAAAAAGCATTAGGCGTGATTATATTGTGATGGTCAAATTATTAAGTTGCACCTGTGTTTATTTGCTTGGATGTTCTTAGCAGATAAGCTGCTAAATTAGCCACCTCCACCAATTCAAAGTGACGGTAGACGTCAGCATCTCTTAGTAAATCTGGTCCAAATATGACTAATGTTGAATGAAAGCTAGTAATCCAGACTGCGTCACTTAATGCTTCTACCCTAGTAACATTCGATATTAGTCATGTTAACACTTTCAGTGACTTGTTCCTTTAGGAGTCCCTGTGTTATTAAAAATAAGTCTGCCTTTTTCCTCTTAACTAACACTCTGACCTACATCCAGTCATACTGACTGCCTCTCATTTGGGCTGCCTTTCATTTCCTGCGATACTTGAGGCTTGACGTTATTGTCATTTCAGTGTGATTTGTTTTAGACATTCTTCTCAAACCAAGTGCTGTGGCTTCAGCACTGCCCAGCTTGGGCCCTTGAGGTGATGTTGTTAGTTAGCTGCAGTTTGCATTTAGTGCATTGTAGCATTTCTGTGCCCTTGCCCCTGCTGTACTGTAAGCTCTTAGAGGCTTGTCTAGATTTCTGGCCCGTCTTCTCTGCCCACACAGGAAGCAGAGTCACCGCCTGCACCTTTCCTGATCTGTTTCTTGCGTGTTTTGTTCTTTTGTTTGTTGTGCGCGTGCACTGTTTGTGGCATTGAGAGAGTGAAGAAAGGCCAGGTAACACGCCATGTTTCGTTTTTCAGTCCTGAAGACCGAGGTCCCCAGTGCTGACAAGAAACCACCACAGTCACGACCTGAGGACAAAGGTAAGAGAGGTCAGCTGTTACCCTGGTCATTCCAGCTCTCCAAAAAACCTGGGTGCAGTGCTGTCTTTAAAGCTTATCCATTCGTCTTAATTTATCCACCACCCGTTCATCATGAAGGTTTTTTTTTCCCATTTTGATTAGTGCTATAGTGCTATGACATTGACTGACTGGGATACTGTAAATTTCTTAATCAAGGTTAAAAATGTGTGATGCTTCACAAATAAGCATCTTCTATGAAGGTTCGCCCGAGGGTATTGAGGGAAATTACACAGAGAGGGAAATTACAGATGTATATCCAAATTCAGAAAGATAATGGCTTTGCTTGCCATCCGTTTGCTCATATGACGGTACTGTGGCAAAGCTGTAAATAAATACTGTCTACAGTGGTGTGGAAATGATATTAAGATTGTATCAGCGTTGTATCTTATGTCTTGACCGCAGTGGAATTCATCACGTACTGAATATTACTGAAAAACGTCCAGTGGCTCACTCAAGAACAGTCACATATGTAGATTATGTACTTGTAAAAGCTAAATGAAATAAAAAAAGTTAAAGTGTGTTCATTTACCAAAAAAGCTGACAGTGTTTTCATGGTGGAGGTGCAAGATTTAGAAGTAGTGAGTAATAATGACAGGAACACTTTTCTTGGTCCTGTAGCATGGCAGCCCAAAGTAGGATTTGTATTATATTATATTATTTTATATTATATTATATTATATTATATTATATTATATTATAATGCCCCGTCACTTTATTACTCTGTTTACACTGATCAGGACCCTCACAGAGCAGGTACTATTTGGGTGGTGGATCATTCTCAGCACTGCAGTAACACTGACATGGTGGTGGTGTGTTAGTGTGTGTTGCGCTGGTCAGAGTGGATCAGACACAGCAGTGCTGCTGGAGGTTTTAAACACCTCAGTGTCACTGCTGGACTGAGAATAGTCCACCAACCAAAAATATCCAGCCAACAGAGTCCTGTGGGCAGCGTCCTGTGACCACTGATGAAGGACTAGAGGATGACCAACACAAACAGTGCAGCAGCAGATGAGCTGTCGTCTCTGACTTTACATCTACAAGGTGGACTGACAATGTTGGAGGGTTTAATAGAGTGGACTGTAAGTGTAAGCAGCACTGCTGTGTCTGATCCACTTGCCCCAGCATAACAAACACTTAACCACGTCAGTGTTACTGCAGTGCTGAGAATGATCCATCACCCAAATAGTACCTGCTCTGTGAGGGTCCATGGGGGTCCTGACCACTGAAGAACAGGGTAAAAGGGGGCTAACAAAGTATGCAGAGAAACAGATGGACTACAGTCTGTAACTGTAGAACTACAAAGTGCACCTATATAGTAAGTGGAGCTGATAACATAAACTAAGAGTGTATATAGTGTAGAGGTGTACTCAGTGAAGTGGCTGATCAGTGTATATTCCTAAGTGAAAATAATTTAACACATTCTCTACAGAACAAACTTAAAATTACATTTTTTTCTGCAAATTTTAGTGCACAATTTCTGTTTATTTTCTGAGTTTAGCATATTGGGAAAAAAATATATATAACATTGGCCATAACTTTTTCTGTAGAGGATGTGTTACTTAGAAAATCAGCAAAATGTCATTTGACCATGATGTTAGTAGTACAGCAGTAAAAAAATAAATAAATAATTCAACCACTTCAGCTCCTTGAGACCACCGGTCGTCATATTCTCTATAACTTTCATATTTCATAAGCTACATTCAGAAGGTGGGGGTCGTATGAGAGCTGTAACTGTCTTCTTTCCAGTCAAATAGATGGGTGATGTAATTTTAAACCCTTATAATAAAAGAAGTCACAGTGTTTTGTCTACTGAAAGTCGACCCATTTTTCCACAAATCTGGGCTATAAACTATAAACAGATGGCGTCTCTTCAGTGATCTGCTCTGTAAACATTATTTTTATAAAATAATACAAAGAGCGTCTAAGATTTTTGCCTTTCAGCAGTAAATTGTAAGCATATAGCAATATGTGTGATCATAAAACACATGTTCTGTTAATTTAAGGGGAGCTTTTACAAAAATAAAAAATAAAATAAAAATGTACATTTATTTCATGCAGTTACTGAATAATTTGCCTTACGATTTGGTCATGTAAATTCAGATGGACAAACCAAAACATACCCTGGTCAATAAGAGGTTAAAAATAATAGATGGCTAAAACATATGAGCAGAGCTTTTTTATACTTACAGTGTGAAAGGAAATTTGATCAGATTTGAACAATATTTTCAGTAAAACAAGTTACCAATGGACCACAAGACCATGTAGATAAACTTCCCTGATAACAGGGCTACATTAAGTGCTCAATTCATTGAAGTTTGAAAGAAAGTGGTGACGTAAATAATATAAATATTGGGGTAGCTTCAGGATTCTTAGCATTTAATTAAATCTGTTAATTAGCTTATTTACACTACCGTACCAAAGTTTGGAGTCACTTTCCATATTAACTTATTGCCATTATTTATATTTTATATACAGCTTTTATATTCTGCAGTGACTTGTACAACATATTTAGGGTAATAAGGTATTTGAGGTGTTTTGTGAGGTGAATTCTATGAACATAGAAGTTATTGAATAATAAATAATCTACTTCTGTAAATAAGTAATCGTAATTTTGTATGTATTCGTTCATACTATAAATCTATACACGTTCATTTTGTGTTCATCTACCTCAGTTAATTTTATTTTAACTCAATTTTTGATGTTAGTTTTCTAACTTTCATTGTCATGTTAGAATCTTCTGCAGCTCAGCTCATTATTCTCGACACATTAACATTTCTTATTGGTTTTTTAACCTTTTTAATCTTACTAATTATCTGAAACGTGAAGTGGAGCGGGTCTAGTATAGTATAGTGTTAGAATCATTTTACACATTCATTTTCAATGAAATACTTTAATTTGATTGAAAATACTGATTAAACTACTGATACATTTTTTGATTAACGTCTTATTTCTCATCAGTTTTCTTCATAGACCTTTTGTGTGTGTGTTATAACATGCTGGAGTTCAGGTTTAGATGCATTTTATATGTTTTACTTCTAAAAATGATGCTGTTTGGTGTTAAAAAAATATTTTTTCAGCCTTTGTTGCTGTTCATGATGACTGTCAATGCACTAGTCTCTATAAAGCAATTGCTTTTCCTCAAAGCGGAGGCGTTACTTACGGTATGAAATAGAGCAGCAATATTTTTCAGCTTATCAGAGGATTTTCGCCAATACTCATGAATCCTCAGGACCTGTGTCTCCCTTCACTGCCTTATGCATAGATGCTCACCTGAGAAAACACCACTGCATGATGACATTTGGTGTTTCCTAGTCATAATTGCAGCAACAGTTTTCAAAGTTACAAGAATGTGTTGCATGAGTGGGTGGCTGGAGTTTGTGGTTGGAGCTGCCTTTGCTTATTTGTTTGAATTAAATGCTCTGTTCAGGACAGGATGTCTTTTGAGGTTAAAAAAACAATGATAAAGGTAAAGCCTGAGTGTATATGTCAATATATGTCATTTTCCCCGTGATCATGGTTAATTTAAGCTATACCTTAAATTAAACAACTTGCAAGGCTGGAAAATGGTTGGCCTTACCTGTTTTAAGACTGCAGTGTTGCCCTGTTTGAAATGCCAAGGCTACACTTGTGAATTCAGAGTGCTTCCAGGGCTTTGAGGGACACAATCATTGACGGTTTCCTTCAAATAGTGAGTCACTCAGAGAGGTGATGAGGAGATGCATGGTGCAAGCATCCTGTGAGAGTCTCTGCTGCTCTAGTTTGGCACAAGCGCATACATTTAGTATCAATTCAAAGCTGTAAACTCACCAAACAAGCTGTTAATGGAAACCTATGTTGTGGGTAGGGCTGGGCGATATGGGCAAAAATGTTATCACAATAAAATATTTCAAATCAGTTTATATCAATAACTTGCACAGTAAATGTCAAATTGTCATTTCTTTCAAGTTTAAAGACTGATTTCTGCTCCTGAGTGGTTAATTGGCATTTTAAACTATCCTTTATGGTCAGAACATGACAAACACTTGTCAAACAGTGGAACATTTCACAAATCTGTCGTGGGAGAGTGGGAGAAAGTTAGCGATTTTTATATTCAGGTGATAATATTCATAATTTAAAAAGAAAACAGATTGTTTTTAGTGACGAGTGCTAGGCTGTTTAGTTTCTCAATAACATCGGCTTAGTACGAACAGCAAACTTTAGCTGGCTCGGTACGTCAGTGATGGATCACAGTATTTAAACTCAAGCTAGCAGACGTTTGGATTCCTCTATGCTGTCGTAGTAGTTTGAGGGGTGAAGGAACCGCAACAGATCTGACGCTCGCTGTGTAAAAGCTTTAACTGCAGTGTGATTTTCTTGCAGTAGACAAACTACGTCTTCCTTTTAGGTATGTTTAAACTGAAATTAGCGCTTTTTTGTCTTGTTTGATCTGCAGTTAGATCAATTCGCAGTCCTGTACGAGTGACGGAGCGCTGCTTCAAGATTGCCAGCTGCTAAGAACAGCTAGCCTGGGAAGCTAGCGTTCTCCCACTCTCTAATGCCACACCTAAAACATCGCATCTTCAGTTTACTCTCGTTCAAATCAGTGCTGTAACTAGCACGAACCCACTTTTGTTGCTTGGGAATGCGCTAATACTAAAATATGACCGTTTGGCACTGAAACGTAGTTTGTCTGTAGTTGTGAGGAGCAGACGTGATTTAACGCTGCTAAAGCTGGTTAGGATGTTAGGAAAGAGGTGAGTTCACTGTAGGACAGTACAGTTACGCCATTTATCTCATCACTCACACTCGGTCACAGGAGAACAGATCGCCGATCGCTCCACTCGAACAGGCAATGTTTAACTCCACATTTCAGATGTTGCTAAAGTATATTTGGCGCCTCATTTTACTCATCGTCCCCTCCCTCTCTTATCATGTGGAAAAAAACTCAGAAGTGCGCCCTCTCGTGGCGACAGCAGTGTTGCTCTCCTTGCAGTAGAAAACGCAGGGCTGTCTCTAGAACGTGGAAGTGTGAGAATGCTGTATTACATCGAACACTTATCGAACATTTCTTATATTTTTATCGAGGGAAGTTATATCGCGATAATTATCGTTATCGTTTTATCGCCCAGCCCTAATTATGAGCGTAACATTTTCATAATTTTGCAAATCTTTTCTATGAATATAAATAAATGATGGGTGGTAAAGTAGACTCGCAGTAGCTACAAATGATGCTTAACATGGTAGAACATAGACAGAATTGTTTGGGATGTGTTAGATAGCTAGTATTTAAGTAATTGCTCAGCTTTAAAAATACTCAGGTTCAGTTTTCTGATGTTCAGTTGTAACTCAGCTTTTTCTCAGATTGTGTAGGCCTACTTCTGCACTTCTGTGTCTTTCTTTCTTTGACTGTTTGTGCACATAATTACATAAACAGGAAAAACAGCCCTTTGACAGATTGCCCTAACCATGGAATTTTTTCTCTAAAAAGAATTCACACTGAACCTGGAGGAGCTGTAAAATTGAAAACGTTGAAGACGAAGCTCATTCTGAGAAAGGCCTCGAGGCATGTGCATGTATTTCCCAGTTAGTCTGGATTAATAGGAAGTAGCACTGAAATATGAAGGTCTCCATGAATTATGTGAAGCGACAGCCTACCCTGCCTTCTTAAATCAGTGCAGTGTGTATAGTTGTTCTCTGGTGGGCTGGCTTGTTTTAATAATGCAAGGAAAGCCTGCAGCCCACAGATCGAAGAGCTGCTTACAGATTGGCTGTTTGACCCTCTCACCTGTAGTAGCAGATTAGAGTCATAAAGTAGGATTGCACTTCTAGATGTGCCCTTGTGTGAAAGTGGCGTACATTTTGCCACTTTAGACATGTCATCTGTCAAAGAAGTGCCAAAACCTTTTAGGCCCTTAAAAAACTTTATACCCTGGGGGGCTCTTTGGGGAAGGAGAGGTCAAGAAGATCTTCTCAGTGCTATTTGACACTTCGGAGAAATTATTCATTAAATATATTCCTCCTCAACCAGTTCTCTCATATTTTAATGTTGTGGGCTGTTTTTTGTTAAGTTACATTATTTTTTAAATTATTTAGTTAGAAATATTTTGCACCAGCAGTGAAATTCGTACAACTAACTTCAGCATTCAAAGCATTTTTTCACTCAAAAGTATTTTATTGCCTTAAATTGTAGATCTTAAATTCGTTACTGATGAACCATCTATTCATTCTGTTGTATTTTTCACTGGAAGTTGACAGGGCTGTGCCGGACAAACCTGCCAAGCCTGCTGCTCCCATCGTACCCCCCAAAAAGCCTGTACCCCCTCCAGGCAAAGGACTGTTGCGTCCAGCAACTCTGACACCAAAACGACCTGATAAACCTCTCGCTCCATCTCCAGTAGCTAAGTAAGTGATCTTTAAATATCTTAAGAGTCCTAAGCTGTAAAACAGCATCAGAAAATGATTGATCTTATTTAGATAACTCTGCGACAAAGCTTTTGATTCCACTGTTTCAACATCATGTGTCTTTTTTCTCTGTAGGCACAATGGAGAGGTGCCTCACCCACGACCAAAGTCAGACTTTGAACCGACATTACCCAGCAAACCAAAAACGCTGTCAGGAGACTGGACGGAGAAGACCGCTGACTCAGGTGTGTTACTGATCTAAATGTAGAGGTCAATTAGACCATTTAAGTATTGTGCTTTTTTTGTTTTTTGTTTTTATTGCTTAAGGTGTCTCGCTCTGGTGCTAGAGGCCCTTATCTCCTGTACATTTTAGTCGTTTTGCTGCTCAAACAGGTCTCATTCAAATCAGCGCTTAGTTGTCAGGCTCAGTAGCTGTGCTTGAGAAATCAGCTGTGCTGTTTTTTCATCTCGGACACAATAATAAAAGCATCAGACAATCTTTTTTCTCCAGAATTCGAACATGTTCTTCGTTGTCTTGCTTTCTGTGGAGACGTCTGCTGTTAGTCGGTCCCTCTGACTGCAGTACTGATGAAAGAAGGACTGTTTGTATTGCGTATGTGCGTTTGGATTAGAGTGGGTGCTCCAATCACTGATTCCTGGATTTCTCTCGCTTTGTGGACAGTAGTGGTCATAAACAGCAGGGAGCCTCAGGAGTGGAGAGAATGCCTCTGTCATGTTTTGATGTCACTTTCTAGCCTCTGCCGTTCTCCATAGTTATGCAGCCCATCTGCCCTGTTGCACAGTAGCAGTCCTCAGTTAGCAAAGCACATCTGCCATACAGCCAGTGCCTAATCCATCACATTTTGAGCAAAGTTTGGTTTGTCTAAAACTGTACCAAAATACACATGCAAGTATTTGTTTGTTAATCAGACAATTTGCAAGTGCTTTGTTACTCTTCGGTACTAAACACTCCTACTTTGCATCAAAATAGAGACGCTTGTTTACACGTGTTGCTGAACAACAAATGATGTAAAAGAGAACATTTTTTGGCTGCTAGGGTGTTGCAGACCTTTTCGCGTGCATCAAAAAAATTGAGATTTCAAATTTTGATTTCTAATAATCCATATTTGACATTTAACAGACTTTTAGGCTGTTTTCACACCTAGTTTGTTTGCTGAAGTATAAAACTGTACCAAATTACACATACGAGTGCTTGTTTGTTGATTAGACATTTTGCAAGTATGCAAGTGCTTTGTTACTCTTCGGTACTAAACACTACTACTTTGCATGAAAATAGAGACGTAAAAGAGGGTGTCGCAGACCTTGTCGCGTTCATCAAAAAACTTGACAGGGCGCAGATGCTGTTGTGCACTCTGATCGGATAGAAACTTGAAGTTCTACGTTCTGGATTGTTGCCTTGGTCACAATGTGTGGCTGTGTTTACTTTCTTGCTGCTCCACTGCTTTCAGAAACAGAACAGGTTGGTGTTCAAGTTTGGTGGTCTTTGATTGGACAGATAGGTGGTGCAGTTGTCTGACTGAATGGGATTGGGTTGATGGTTTACTGCTGGTTTTCTGAGCTGAATCTGTCACACTATTCGGGACTCAAAGCAGGACTGCAGTCTGTAAGTTCTCGACTAACTTGGACGGTGGATCAGACTTGGCTGATTTTGACTCTGAAATGAAAAAAGATGTGCAGTAACTGTTTGAATAGATGCTCCATTGTTTCTTGGTCAGTTGTGTCTCACTACAGTATTAGTTTAAGTGAACTAAAAACAGGCGAAAGTTTATTTTAGATGTGAATTGTATATGGTGTCTATTGCTGTTTCCTCTCAGAGGACCAAAGAACTGTCAGTGCCAGCAGTGTAGGTCATTATGAGGCTAACATGTCTACATAAACCAACCAGAGAAAAAAACAAAGTGTAATTTGTGTCAGAATCAGCTGTTTGGTACCTTGTTGCTCTGTTGAGCAAAATAAAAATCTGTCATATATAATTAAATAGGGGCTTGGTTGAATAAAACAGTACAAGCCAGAATGTAGCCAGCTGCATAGACAAAGACAACCTATGCTAAATAAAATACACCAGTATGACCACAGATGCCACAAGATGCAGGTCACTGGTGATCTTCAAGAACGTTTTGCTGAACGGCCCAATACGAAGCCTGGGACAATGTTTTATGGACAGATAAGACAAGAAATAATCTAAACCAGGTTATTATCTATCCGTATATGCTGAGTCACCACATCTCACAGATTGGGTGAGAGCAGTTTTTTCTTCGCCTATTATATATATATATATATATATATATATATATATATATATATATATATATATATATATATATATATCGCTGCTGTCAGATCAAAAACTCATATCTCCAAAATATTAACTTTACAGGAGAAAGAAAAAACATACAGACATTTTTCCACAGCATTTTGGGTCGTTTCTTTTGGTCCGTTCATCGTGAAATTTACACATAATGTAAGGGACAACAGGCACTTCCAAATTATGTCTGAAAAATGGAGATACAAGGTTTTATTCCGACAGCAGCTATTGACCCAAAGCATACCAATCTGTGAGACATGGTGACATGGCATAGTAGTGGTATTCTAATATATAAATGGATATACAACCTCATTTCAGTGTTCTTTATACTTAATTATGTGTCAAAAAACTGGTAGGGTTTGGAATAGAAACACGCAGTTGAGGTTGCATATCATTATGTGAAATATGCCCTTGTTTGTACATAACAGTATAAAATATTTTGGAATTTATTAAAATGGGTCCAAAAAAAATGGGACAAAATACACTTGGGTGGATATTGTACTGGGAAGGGATATAGCCTATGTGTGGGGAAACACTGTGAAAGAATTCTTAGTGCTCAGAACTGAACCAGTACCTGGAGTTTTTTAGGGTAAGTCAGTCACCCAGCCTGGAATCCACAGAGCATGCACTTCACTGAAGTCACATTAGCATATTAGTAGCATTTTAGGCCTGGCAGAGCATCACTAGGGAAAATACCCAGAGGTAATGAGTATCGGTTGGAAACACAACATATAGTATTAAATGTGACAGTTTTAGATCTGTCCACTAAAATCAAAGTGCTATGTATAAAAAGGGCTGTTATTGGTTCACCAAGTAGAGATGTAAATACCCTCAAATTTAAGCTGGCATTCTGCCATTTTCACAGCTAATCTAGCAACTCCACTTATGAAGACATTTAATATGCCTCAACTGATACCCTTGACAATTGTGCAATTTTTACGCAAATGAAAAGAAGCTGGCTGGAGTGCATCATAAGTGCATGCAGAATTTGTTGCTGTTCATGTTCGGAGTTGTTTTTTCTTGAGCAGTGTGAAAAGCACAAATGACCTCAGTTCCTAATTAATATCTGGAGAGCATGACTTGGCAGCACAACTAGATCTCTGTTGGTAGCCACTGGAACTGAATTGAGTGATTCAATCATTTCAAGTGAAGGACAGCTCGCCTTTATGTTTTTGACGTGCCTTTTTATGTTTTGGAGCACCCTTGGTGTACTATCTACTATTGGCTAGCATCACTCTACATTGGCAGTGAGAGGATAGCCAGCTGCTCTCTTATGAACTGCTGATCACGAATGATGACATTGTTAAAGGAAATTAGTCTCTGGAACGCAGCACTAATTTATTTGAAAATGACCAGACTCCTGCAAGTGGGGTTCAGTCAAGTTCAGGTATCATATCTCAACTATTTGGATGGTTCAGGTTGGGGTCAGATTTCACATTCAGGTTTCTAATAATCCAGCTTTGACGTTCACACCTAGTTTGTTTGTCCGAACCGGAGGTTTTAATTTTTGCTCGGGTGGTTTCACATCACCTTGGCTAAAGTGTACCAAATTACACGTGCGAGTTCATTTGGAATAAACCGAACCCTGCAAATTTTAATTTAAATTTATTTAGAGCTGTTGACAAACTGAGCTTGCACACACAGGAATCAGACCTCTGCGTTTAACCCATCCGTGCAGCGGTATACATGCACACTAGGGGGCATTGAACACACATGCCCAAGGCGGTGGGCAGCCCTATCCACAGCACCCGGGGAGCAGTTGGGGGTTAGGTGCCTTGCTCAAGGGCACGTCAGTCATGTACCTTCGGCTCAGGGGATTGAACCAGCGACCTTCTGGTCACAAGGCTGGTTCTCTAACCTCCAGCCCACGACTGCCCTTTCAATTTTGTCAGACCATGACTGATTACTTAGGTACGGACCCAAATATGGGTTGAGTGCTGACAGCTGATAGAACTAAAGAAAAAGTTTGAAAGGTCCACACTAAACAAGGTAGGTGTGAAACCGCCTTTAGCCTTTAGTTTTTCCTGCTACTTTATTCATTAGGCCCGTCACAGTGATGAAATTTCCGCTGAAATAATTGCGATTAACAATTTAATTGTCTTTTTTGAAAGTACAAGCCTAAAATGGCTAAATTGGCTGATTGCTTCCTTTGTTGTTTGTTGTTAATTAAGGACAGATACAGCTCCAGCTCAAATAAACAAACATTACTCCATGCTGCTCTCTATACATGTCACAGCATCAGGGTAGAGGTTATACTTTTTGATGTTTTTGTGGGTTTGTTTTTGAACCTACTCAGGATTTCAGTCTGTTGTGTTTTTGACTTTTTTTTTCTTTCAAACTTTTAGAGGCTGATTTTCCAATTTAAAAAGCTTTTGGTTGTTTCTGAACCTGATAATTGAGACTATTGATACCTGTGGCAACCATCTTGCTCTAAATTAGTAAGAGCATGTTTTGTTGTTTAGCTTGTTAGTTTGCGAGTTTGTCAATTTAAACCAGTGAATCAATTTAAAGATAGACATTCATAAAAAAGGAGCAGGAAAGAGTGAAGCGAAGAGATTTCTCAGAATGGCTGCAGGGGCAAAACTTCACAAGGCAGCTGGGGCTGTCTGAGAGCTCGATAAAGGCAACATGAAAGCTGCTAAAAGCATGTCGTGCTAAAAGGTCAGCTACTTGTCACATCACATTACTGCACTGTGGGACTTCAGAGGACTTCTTCGTTCTTTTGTGCTGTACTTTGCACCTTTAGGATATAAAGCTGTGTTTCCAGCCTGATTTGTTTTGGTTTACAAAAAAAAATCTCAAAAAAAAAAGACAAAAATATCTCATACCCAAATACCTGATTCCACCAGTTGACTGTAGCAGTTGCTTCTTTGTTCTGGCTGTTGCTCTGTGGCCAGTACATCTGATATATAGATAAAAGACAGCAAGTGAAACACCCTCCCCCCTCTTTTTTTGAAAGGTTGATCTCTACCGCAGCTCTCTTGCACAGCAGCGTCCTTCCTGCTGACAGCAGTATCTATACAGAAAGTGTATAGCATACTGAACGTATGCTAATGAATACAGGAGTTTCCGATGTCTTGGTTGTTGTTTGATTGCATTAGTTCATAAACAAGTATAGCTTAGGTTGGAGATCTGGTGAGATCACCATTCGTTTATTTAATTTCCAATCAAAACAGGCACTATGTACAAGCAATTCTTGGATATTTGCATCAGAAAAGGGAAGGTCAAAAGAAAATAAGTGGAGAAAACAAGAGCTTCCAAAACAGGAGTTTGAAAAAATTGTTTAAAAAGAAAATACAGAGAAAATAGGACTCGTAACAACTGTGCAAGACCTGGTAGACCATCAAAACTGTCACCATCAAATACATTTAAAGCTTTCATCTTTGAGACAGAGGAGAAAATCAGGCTCCACTATTGCTTCAGAATATGAAATAATCCAGTTGTTTCTGTCCTAAAGACTTGTTGTTGGTCTAAAAGAATGTGTAGCAAGAAACTGTTACAGAGAAAAAGAAATAGACAAGTGTTACGACCTGTTCTAGGTCGGTCCGCAACATAAAAAGACCTCCGTGTCCTCCTGGTTCCTCAGGTCACACACAACCAGTTTTGCGATAATAACAAATCGGTTTAAGGCTTCAGACAGTTATTGTGCATTAGGGGAGGGAAGGGAAAAATAACAAACAAAACAAAGCTAACTTAAGTTTAGGGAAATAAAACTTACCTAACAAACAAAAAAAGCAAATAAAATATCTAAACTAACTTCCTAACTAGGAGGAAACAAAGACAACAAAAATAACCCCCTCTCTCCGAAAAGAGAGATCATATACAAGAGCTGTGTCTGAGCAGCCACGTCAGCTCAGTGTTGACAGTATACTTCAGTGAAAGTGCAGCAATAAACCATACACCAGTAGCCAAGCACTCACACCAACACAGCTCTATAACAGTAGCTTCTTTCAAGTGACTGGTCGGGGAACAAGGAACACAACGAAAGCCACGCCAGAAGCAAAAGCACCGCACTTCCTCCTGGGCGTCTCCCCTTTGTGGTGGGTCAGTGCATCTTCCCTCAGTTCATTAATCAGTATAGAAGACGCTACAAAAAAAAAAAACATTATGACCCGTAGGGTCATAACACCCCCACACTTTAAAAATAAATAAATACATAAATAAATAAAAATATAGCATTGTTGTTCTACAGCAGAGGCCACTAATAGGTGGACCACGGTCCAAGTCTGGACCCAGACGCTGTCCTATGCGGACCTGGACCTATAACCGATAAACTGTGAGGAATCGTCTTTCGACGGGGTGGTCCTATTTTAATCGGCGTAACGTTTCTAGCCTTTTACGGTACCACTTCAGCGGCCCGGGAGACTCGCAGACCAATCACGTGTGTTGTAAATATCACGTGACGCACACACAGGGGAGGGACGAGGGGAGAAACAGCAGTCGGAGAAGAAAGTGAGTCAGAGGGAAGTTGTTTCACATGGCGTGATCTAAAAAGAGAAAACTGACCATAAAGATTGTTGAAATATGACTGAATTGTACTTTATTTGATCTGACATTCAGTTGTTGGCTGCGTAAGATGTTGATATACCTACTAGGCGACTTCATTTTACAGTATATGGCACTGAATCGTAATGCAAGTTAGACATTATGATGTTCCGGACCTTTGCTTGAGGTAATTTTCTCTAACTGGACCTTATTGAATTTTAATTAAATACCAATGTTCTACAGTCTTGATAGAGCATCTGCTACAGCATTTTCGCTGCCTTTCTTATGCTGGATCTCAAGATTGAAATCTTGAATCATTAAAAAAATCATCTCATTAGTCTTTGGTTGGCATTACGTATTCGATATTTAGGTTATGGTTATGGTTATGGTCAGTATAGACCACCACAGGCAAATTGCTATATGCCAAATACACTTCAAAATGCTGCAAGGCCAACAGGAGAGCTTATGCTTCTTTCTCTGTGGTACTGTATGCAACCTGTAGTGTCATAACACAATAGAAGAAAAATTGCAAATCAGACGAAGAAGCTGTTTGTGTTCTCAGTGCACTGGACGGTCCACCTCAGAGTCCAGACCTCAACGTCATTGAATATGTTTGGGATTACTTGGATTGTGAGAAGCAGAAAATGCAACCAACTTCTAAGACTGAACATTTCTGTTTCTGTATATTATTTAAAGTACAGTTTATGGGTTAAAACTCAGTGTAAGATTCAGCTTATTTGAAGCTTTGAGTGAAAGATTTTTCTAAGAACAAATCAAGATGAAAAATTTCAGAATTTTGAAGTCTATTATGAACAATAACTCGGGCACACAGCATCATTTTCTCGTGTTGGTTTTCATCATTCTGGCACAGTGTTTATCATATTTTCATAGTAGTAAGTTTTTGTTTATGCGTCTGTATTTTAGACATTGTCCCTTGAAACTAAATCATTTGTCTGTCTTGCTTCCACACCAGATCTCATGAGCTTCGATGATGTCTCCTCTACCTCAGAAAAGCTGTCTCATCCCACAGCAAACAGACCAAAGATGCCTGGCAGGCGACTGCCGGCCCAGTTTGGTGGAGCCCCCTCTGTGAGTGAAATCAGGATGTTTTCACAAGTTAGATCTGCCTAATTCAGTGATACATTACTCATCAGACATATAAAACTCCTCAGATTAGTGGGGCTTAATCAGCAGCAAACATTTCTGCCTTTTATAGTCCACTGCACTGTTAGTTGCTGAATCAGGTCCAAATGTACACTTCAAACCAGGACCGCTAATTAACCGACAAACTAATAAATATGGTTTTATTGCATCTCTGCATGCCTCTTCAGCTCTGCACACTGTATTGTACTGTGTTGTTCCAGTACTAAATCCCATCTTTAAGTAGCGTTTTATTTTAATGATATATATTTAGATTTTTTTTAGCATTCTATGAAATATTATCTTGAATATTTGATTATTCCATAAGAAAACCTCACAGTTTTACAGTTGAATGACTTTCTTCGTCCTCTTCTTCTTCTTCTTCTTCTTCGTAGTATTATTATTATTATATAAAATATTTATTATATAAATGGTACATATCCTTATTTTTTATAATGTATACATTATTGTATTTGTTTTTCATTATTATTAAATATTATCAAAATATTTTCTTATTAAAACAGTTATTATAATTATTTATTATAGTTGAAATCTAATAGTATAATAAGTTGAAAGCTAATAAGAAACATCACTAATAAACCATTATTTTCATATAAAGTAGCATAACATGTTAATCCGTGGATTTTGCCCAGTCTAGTAACAGTGTGCAGGTTGCAGGAGCAGTTTGTGTCATTGATGAGCAGAGAATATCTTTTTAACCATCGTCTTCAAAAATATAAGTAATTTTTGGTCTCTTGTCAGTGAATATGGGGTGACTATATGTTGGATTCTAAATGTTGAAGATTTAAAGCTGCTTCTTCCTACCAGAGTGTGCACTAAACTGATATCGGTCGCCCGTTGCAGTCTGAATAAGTTTCCTCCTGAACAGCTTCCTGGTTATCATTTACTCTCATATATATGTGTGTACCAGAGAACCTACTAGCTAGCAATGTGGAGCAGTAACGTATTTGGGCTGCACTGGGCGATTAAGGCTGATTGCCACCTCAGATAGCTAGAATTGGAGAGTTGACAGCTGTGCTCCAAAGAGTCAGCTGTGCAGAGCTGATGGCCGTGTGCTACTGCTGACAACCTAGTAGTTTTGCTTCATAGATGTTTGCCTCCCCATAGAAAAACATGGGTTCACAACAGTGGTGAAAGTACCAGCTAATTATTTTTTAAATATTTTAATTATCAAATTTACTGAATATTATTGTAAGATATATGAATGTTTTATTTGAAGGACTTCCTGAGTTCTAGCACACCTAAGTGCCAAGTCTTAAAGAAATTTACCTTTCATTTAAATAGATATATTGAATAGGATACCATTATATGAGTTTTTTTATAATTTAGCTGAAAAATAATTTAGTTTGGCCCCTTAAATAAAAAAAAAAAGCATGAATCATGAATATGTTAACTTTTTAAATGTATATTTGTTCTTCTACTGTGATAATCCTTTTTGCCTTTATCACCCAGTTCCATGCATTTATTTAACTGCTTAGCTGTTTTTTTTTTCTTCTTTTTCATGCTTCACTGTTGACACTGAGGCAGCTTCGCGGCAGATAAACAGAGGAATTAGTGGAGCAGCCTGGGCCTGCTTAGAAGCAGATGGGGCAGGCTGTCAGAAGTGGCAGGGTTTCCGTACCCAGTGTTTGAGAAACATGTTTTCTGGCCTTTTTTACAGCCAAACAAGGAGGCCAGTGAGAAAGCTCCGAAAACAGAGGAGGAGGACGCTCCAAAACCAAAGTCATCAGAAACCTGGAAGGTAGGCTGATGCTTATATTGAACGTTTGGAATCACTGTTCAGTCATTTTAAATGATCGGTATCCTGATTTCTTCTGTTTTTGTATATTTGTCACATTTAATTGATTTGTTTTGTATTTTGAAACCAAATTCAATATAAGACTAAGTCAACCTGAGTAAACGCAAATTGATTGAAGGGAAAAACTTATCCGCCACCAGCTGGCTGTAAGCAGCCCCCCCCCCCTTACTCAGTCAACCAGTTAACCAAATTTGGTTGTAAACTGGGATCAATTAAACTAGACACACCCAGCCTTGATTACTGAAAAGTTTAGGGAAGACTGAAACTGTTGGGCCCTTGAACACTGAGTGTGTTTACATGCACTCAATAACCCGATCATAGTGGGATTTCTGCAGTTATCCGATTATTCAAATGGACATGTAAACATCATACTCTGATCTAGAAATCCGATTAAGAAATCCGATAAAGAGAGCTGGATTTTAGCTCAGTAATCAGATTTCTTTCTTTCAGGTTTGTCAGTCTGTGCAAGTGCGAAACAGACTGACAGTACCAGAAATAAACAAGCAGCGTTGCCACGAGATGCAGCGAAACACTTTTGGAGCGACGCTGAAACCAAACACATTCTCGTCGAATTATCTCAATTTAAATATTATTTATCTTCTAGATCATGTTTGTTCATATTTTCAGGTAAAGTGGGGTGATGTTTTTAAGCACTGCATGAAGTTTGAGTTTTACGTTCCGTTTACGTTACGTTTACATCACGTCTTCTTCTGTGAGTTTATTGGCTGGTGGCAAAGCAGAAATCTGATTACTCAAGTGCATGTAAACGCGTTAATCGGACGACTAAATCTGTTTTTCTGCAGTTATCAGATTATTAAGTGCATGTAAACACACTCACTGTCGCAAAGATAGTAGGATTTTTTTCTCACTCGTTAAAATCTCTTTAGTTAACTTTCTGTTGAAATAACAATGATGGCTGAAATTAAACATGCAACCATGTAGGTTAATTATATCATCTAATGCAGCAGCATTATTTGAACCCCAAAGGTCAGAACCAACCTCATCCAACATCAGCCATCAACCCACACCAGCACACTAAATACATTACTCTCCCAGCTCCGGTTCTCCCACTTACCAGCTCAGGTATCATTAGTATGTTGTGCAATGCATGGATGCAGTCATCCAGTTTTCTTCATTCAAAAATTGCTCAAAATATCATAGGAATATCAAATTAAACCCCAGACTGTAAAGAGTCACAGTCATTAAATGGTTTGGAATGATTGAATATCAAAGATTAAAATAATAGATTTACACAATCAGGGCTGACATGACTGCCAATGAGTGCCACATGGCAATGTTAGCTTTCATTCTTTGTGAGCCATGTTGCTCTTATCTGGCTAAACTTGTGGTTTCTGCATTAGTTGTTCTTCTGAAGGGAAAATGCTGCATTATATACAACTGCATACTATGAGATATTCATCTCAGCAGTTTTGTTCAAATAATACGTATGACTTTATTAATGCAAGCACACACATTCTTTGCCAGAATGTTTAATATTCTTCTAAAGTTATTTTCCAAACACCTTTCAGACGTCTAGTGGAGTGAAGCCTGTTGATTGCACTGAAAGCCACAGTGGAGAATATGCTTATTCAAGTGGTTTTGCTGCGATCATGTGCATGTTTAAGTCTAAAAAAAGTCTTCAAAAGACTTGAAGGTTCTCAGCAGTGTGGCTATTTCAGGTTTGCAAGTAAAGCAGAGTAATCAGGCAGCCGAGTGATAGGCTTAGAATTCAATACACTGAAGTTAGAGGGCTGTGGTTTTAGTCCATAATGAGTAATGACAACAACAGTATGGTCTGAGAATCATTCTTTACAATAACTGTTTCATTCTGCTGAGAACTGTTTGCTAAGTAATAGCTTGCTTTATGCTGCAGACAGTTAGTAAGGTTCTACTTTAACACATTCAAAGCCACAAAAAGGAAACATTAGATAACTTCTGAGATGTTTGAGCTGCAATCTGTGTGGTCACAAAAGTGTGATAGCAGACCTACGTCAAATTCTGAACCTGTCCTTGCCCTCTGAATAAGCTTTTTGTTGAACCTGAGCAACCATATTACAGCACTGATGTTATTAATGATAACACATCCACTCTTGTGTACATTTGTCAGCGACTCTCTACCCTGTCCATGAATAAACAACCCCATTTCCAAAAAAGCTGGGACGCTCTGCAGAATGTAAATAAAAACAAAATGCAATGATATGCGAATCATTTAAACCCTCCGTTTAAATGAAAATACTACAAAGACAACATACATGTTGAAACTGGTAAGTTTTATTGTTTTTTTTGGAAAATATATGCCCATTTTGAATTTGATTTTTGAAAAAATCAATAAAATTTCTCAGTTTCAACACTTGATATGTTGTCTTTGCACTATTTTCATATACATATAGAGTTTAAATGATTTGCACATCATTGCATTTTGTTTCTATTTACATTTTGCACAGCGTCCCATCTTTTTTGGAAATGGGGTTGTAAAAGGACCGCCATGGGACCACCGCTGAACGGTTATTATTCGGATGGTGGACCATTCTCAACACTGCAGTGACGCCAACATGGTAGTGGCATGTTAGCATGTCCTGCGCTGGGATGAGTACATCAGGCACAGCCGACTTGGCACTAATAAAGTAGCAACTCAGGGTAAATGAGAAAGACCTCAAAGTATTTTATCCTCGTTAGGGAAAACAAGCTTCCTTATGAATCTGAGCACGAGATGGGTGCTTACTGAACTTGCAAAGCCTCATACAGTATGTGTCTCTTTCCACAGCCATCCCTCTCAACACCGTCAACTACTGTGCATAATAAAGCAGCCAGCATGCCTGCTCCTGAGCCCAAACCGAAAGCTGACGTGGAGGAGCAGAAAGGAGGCGAGCTCGACGAGCTCAGGACTCAGTTGAAAGAGCTGGTGCTCTCCATAGAGTTACTGAAGGCACAGCAAATGTAAGCACAACCGACATTTTTTCTGTCCAACCCTGTGAGAACCTTCATTGCACCAGCATATTTTGTACACCTGTTATTTTCCACCTCTAGTAAATTTTGTTTGAAGTTATCCTCATTTTTTCTAAGCAGCTGTCATTTTTAGGCACAATTCTGCAAGAAAAACACCTTTACCTGCATTAGTAAAATACATTTAAGAAGACGCATTTTCATTGCATTGGGTTGTTATAATCTCAGCATGTTTTTCTCACATTGTACAACATTTTAAACCTGATATAAATATAATTATGAAAATTAGTGTTTATAGTACAAAAATGATCTATGCTTTACTGTAGGGCAGTGTTTATAAGGCTACATGACACCTAATAAGCTCTTTATGATGACTGACATAAACCTATGTAAACATTTTAAAAAGCCTTATTTCAATAACTGTCAAATGTCAAAGATTGCTTTTGCCAACTTTGACAGCAATTTTTCTGATACTGGGTTGTGTCGACACTTTTTGGGTGAAATTACAACCACTGACATTGTAGCTTCACAGTGACCTGAGGCTAATGTGACATTGCTGAAATCTTAAATAGCAAAATTAGGCCCAGTCCCATTTCTTCTTTTTACCCCTACCCCTTGTTTTTGAGTGTCACCCTAACCCCTTGGAACTGAGTTACAAGGGGTAGTGGTTGAAATCTTGCCCTACGAAATGGGACCCTCAAATAAAAAGAGCATTACTTCATTAACAGCTACTAGCGCTGCTCTGTAGGTGACCTGACCCGTCTTCAGTGACAGCAGAGGAGGGTAAAGTTCAGCTCCTCACTGCTGGGCTTTAGTTACATTTAGGGCATCATATGCCTTAAAAGAGGGGGGCAATTATTTATTATCACCCACCCCTAATTCTTCAGTGATACAAAGCTGAAGTCAGATATTCACCAGCTTCTTGTTCGAATTTTCCGTTCCACCTTAAATGGTGCAGCAGTTAAATTCTGGCGCTTCAGGCATCAGAACTGCTGGACTATTTAAGGTGGAACGGGAAAATTAGCCAGCTAGCTACCGAGACATTAGCATGCTATTAGCGATTTTTTTATGCTTGTTATGAAGAAAACGACCGTAATACACTGAAACGACATTAAACTAAGATAAAACAGTGGTTATCGTAATTTTTTAATGGAGAAAATACTTATATTTGTGCTTTTCTTTGGTCTCTTGTTCAGCCATCTTGCTGGTTATTCTTTTTTTCTCATAACACTCCGTTCTCCGTTTGGAGTCTCTGAAAAGACTCTGTTTGGAGGGCCATATAGCCCTAACACTACACCCTGCCCCTTTATCTCAACAAAAATTAGGACACCCTACCCCTAGACGTGAATGCGCAAAACAAATGGCTAAGGGCTCAGTGGTAGGGGCGAGGGGGGAAAATGGGATTGGGCCTTAAACTCACTTTACCTAAACATCACCTTGACATCCAGGATGGGGAAAAGCCACCATTCTGACAAAAACTTGTATTGGAATAAGTGTTTATAAATGTTCATGTAGGTTTACGTCTGTTGTCAGGAAAGACGTATGTAGGTGTCACCTGAACTAACCTGAGTTTTACTCTATGCAGGAGAGAGCTTACTGAACTGAGGAGTGAGCTGGACGAGGAGAGGTTGAAACGAGTGGCCCTGCAGGTAAGTCCATCATTTTATCCCATGCTTTGTTACAGATGGTTGGTATTACAAGCCTGAACCCTGAGATTCTCAGGGGCTGCTTCTGTGCAGAGAAACAACTTTCATCGTCCGCTTCATGCAGAGAGCCTGACCAGGCCAGACCCCTGCTAAGCTCAGCTTCTACCAAAGTTCAGACAGATAGCACTAGAGATTAGTGCCCCTGCTGTCCTTTCAGTTGTAGGGATAAACAGTTTCTGTGCAGAATATTTCTTCTGTTTTCCTCCTTTCCATCGCTGTCAGTGTTTACTTAATAGCCCTTGTTCTTCTACAGTCACTTTGTCCTGTGACTAGGGTTAACGTTCAGTGAATGTTTGTGTTTCTGTGTACAATAAGAAGTATGTAGCTTTGGCTTTGTTTACAGAATATCAGCATCCAGTTGTTGTCTGACCTTTTTGAAGTGTAGCTACTGAATCTAGAAAGTAATCTTGTTTCTCCTCACAGTATTTATTTATTTATTTAACACAATAAATACCAAATAGGGAGGTTGAAGGCTAACACTTGCTTCCTCCAAGTCACCTTAAGACCTGGGACACAAAAAGTAGAGTGCCAACTGTGTCCAACGAGTGATTTGCCTTCCGTCAAAATTTGCGCTCCACAAAGACTGGCACATATTTAATCTCGAAAAGGAGAAGCTCCTTATAGCAGGAGTTGAACTGTAAACCTGCAGTATACAAAGTACAGAATATAATGTTTAAATGTATTATAAGCTTCAGTCTTCAGTTTAGCTAAACCTTCATGTGAAAGCACCGTTAGCTTGGCACTGGGTGGGTACAAACGCACCTTAAAAGTGAATGTTTGTACATTAAGCAGTGAAATAAAAAGCGCAGTCGCATGTTTATAATTATATGAGAAAAAGTTTAAAAGTCTATGAAGAACTGAGTGTCTGATGCTTAAATTTTGTGTTATCAGAGCACCTTCAGAAATCTCATGTGTCCTTGTTTATTCATAACATCATTAATTTTTTTCTTATTGAGAATACGATAATCACTTTTGGACATTTTGCCGCTCTCTTGGTTGATTCAACATGCTCAGCAGGCAAAAATAAGAGCTGATGAGGACTGTTTAGAGCCCAATGTGCCACACACCACACACTCTCTGGGTAACGGTCGGCCACCAACACTCACCAAAAGCCTGTCGCCGTCTGACAGATGCTAGTCAGCTTGGTGTGTCGCAGGGGGTTGAGGGGTGGTTGTTTTTGGACAGCCAACGCAACACCGTTCGACAGCTCAGCGCACTTGGTGGAGAAAACTATCTATCTTATGTCACTTAAGAGATACCTGTGTTGGCTAGCATCTCGCTGAGTGATGATTTAGAACCACCCGGGGTTGACCTCCATCTCCGGGAGCCCTAAAGTTAGCATTTCTAGTGAAGAGTAGGCCTATACAGGCTATGCCATGAGGCTGAAAGCTGCAGAGCGTTCCATGGATCTGAAGATAAAGAGAAATTAAATATGACAGCTTATGTTCAGGTGCTTAGAGGCCACAATTGAAGCTCACTGTTTTTTTTTGTTTTTTTTATAAATTTTACCCGATTTTCTCCCCAATTTAGTCGTCTCCAATTCCACCCGCTAGTTAGGACTCCCCCAATCACACGATGCTATCAACGCTAGGAGGGTGAAGGCTAACACAGGCTTCCTCCGAGACCTGTGAAGCCAACCACCGCTTCTTTTCGAACGCGCTCGGAGGAAAGCGCCAACCGCCAGATCTGTTACGTCAGCTAACAGACGCCTGCGCTGACTAGCATCGCGCTGAGTGATGGGGGGAGAAGGAGGGGCCATCCTACCCACCCAGAGAGAGCGAGGCCAATTGTGCTCTCTCGGACTCCCGGCTACGGACGGCTGTAGCATCACCAGGGATCGAACTCGCGATCTCCTGATCATAGGGCCAACGCTTAGACGGTTGCGCCACTCGGGAGCCCAAGCTCACTGTTTTTTATGGTGGCATTGGTCAGTGTTGTTAGCAGTTTGCTACATCCTGTTATGTTAAAATTAACCTGTTAAGGTAGGCAAGGTGCCTTCGGTGCATTTAGATTGCAGTCTGATCCAGCCAAGATTGAAGCCATATGGGCCACGATCAGACACGGGACACTAGGACTGGGCAATTAATCGAAAAGTAATTGAATCCGACATTCAGAACCGAACAGACGTAACCTTGCCCGCGTCTATTAATCCTTTACCCCCTCTGTGTGTTCATGTACTGTCCCCTTAAAAACTTACTTCCGCGTGTGTGGTCACATGACTCCACCACGTCCAGTCTGAGACATAGAAGCTAAGGCTGCATTCACACAGCAGGTAAAAGTGGCCCAAATCTGATTTTCTCACCAAATCAGATTTTTTTTTGTTTGGCTGTTCACATTATCTTTTAAGTGTGATCTCTATGAGACATCAGTCTGAACAGATCAGCTCCTAAACTGACCCACATGCGCAAAAGAACAGAGCGTCACGGTGCTTCACGGCTCATCTAGAGGTAAACAATCACGACCGCCAGCTCTCGGAGCTTTCAGCTTCATCTTCACCAGTGTCACTGCAGCCATCATGAAGCTTCACTGACTGACAGCTGGGCTCATCAACCAGAATGTGTTGGGGCTCGCTGTAAAAAGGGCGCGGCCACTTCTGTGGTTCGCGTCCTCGGATTCTTTAAACTTTGCTTTCAGAATTTTAACTGTGTTTTGACGCTGCAGCCTCGTTCTCCTGCGGCCGCGTTCAGACATTTCTTTCAAAATCTCTTCAAACACGGAGGGTTTTGGATGAGTTTCTTCTAATTTTTGTACAAAAATATCCATCCAAATGTTTGAGTCTCAGCCGCGTGAAATTATGACAAATGTCGACTTGGATTGACGTGAAAGTCCCATGAATTCCGATCTGGCTGTTGAGACGATTTACAATAAGATGCGCAGAGCATGTTTACAGTACAAACCTTGTCAGTGAACTATGACAGCAAAAAAACAAACTAAAAAATACGTAATAATTATTAATTAATCGTAATCGAGGTAAAATATTCAATTAATCGTGATTGATTTGAGGTCATATCGCACAGCACTACGGGACACACTTTAATGCCAAGTGTACACAGCACCTTTGTGTTGTTCTTAGAGCTGGACTGACTTCAAGTGAGTAAATATTGCATCACAGGTTAAAAAGATGCTACAGTTCAGATTAAGGTGCTGAGCATCCTGTTATTTATATATGAGAGTCATATTAAATTTTGAAATAGCTGCAGTGGTAGACTTGGGAATAAATATTTTATAATGGAAGAGGTTTGGGATGTGTTGCCCTTGTAATATTCATAAATTCTGAATGAATGAACCAACAGTCGATGACCTTAAAGAACCCCTTTGATGGTTTTGAATGATTATTTGCATTTGTATTGTCAGTTAGTTATAGGATGAAATTGTACCAACAATATAATTGAACAGTGGTGATTAGAAAAGTGTTTGAAGTTTCGTCCCCTCTAATGAAGCATATACCATACAGTTAACCTTCAGAAGTTTTCCCCAGGGATAAAACATGGTACATATTCATGTTAATGACTTTGAATTTGTAGCTGATGTTTAGGAAGATGAGATTTTATTTTGATTTATGATGTATGATTAATTATGTAATTATAAGGCTTTTAAGGGCTACTTTAAAAATGTATTCTGGTCCAGATTACTGATTACATCTTAAATATCTATAACCTAATCCAAAAGATTACTGATTACTTTCTCATACTATTAGATTTCTTGTTTTTTATATAATTTGTTTAATAAAGTGAAGGTGGTCTTGCCTACAGCCCTAATACACACTTTACATCACTCCTGATGAACAGCAGCAAAAGAAACTGTGGAAGAAAATTTAAATTTACCACATGAAAAAAGAAATTTAGCTCATCTTCTGTTCATCAGTAGACATTGTCATCAAGTCAGCATCGTTACCAAAGTAAACTGTCTGAGTGTATTACTCTCCATGGCGTGCTGTCTGCCTGCTACCTTCTAACAAAGTTACCCTGTATAGACATATAGGCAAAAAAATCACCATAAGTGACAGTACTTTTGATGTGATCCTGCTGGTAGTCACTGTATATGTGTAGTGTATCTGTGATCTGAGATCGTTCTCCTCACTCATCAGACGTGTTTTTTTGCTCTAACTCTAATGGAATGCAGTCCTGATTACATAATGCTGTTAAGTGTATTCTGTTGCTGCCCAATCCTGGTAAATATACAATTACATAGACACTCAAGAAAAGAAGAAGAAATGAGAAGAGAATTAACAAAGTAACTTAACATGGTTACAGTTTATTACTATACACTGATCAGGCATAACATTATGACCCCCTCCTTGTTTCTACGCTCATTGTCCATTTTATCAGCTCCACTTACTATACACTGTGTCCACTCACTATCCACTCTATTAGACACTCCTATCTTGTCAGTCCACCTTGTAGATGTAAAGTCAGAGACGATAGCTCATCTGTTGGTCATCCTCTAGTCCTTCATCAGTGGTCACAGGACGCTGCCCACAGGACGCTGTTGGCTGGATATTTTTGGTTGGTGGACTATTCTCAGTCCAGCAGTGACACTGAAGTGTTTAAAAACTCCAGCAGCACTGCTGTGTCTGATCCACCCCGACCAGCACAACACACACTAACACACCACCACCACGTCAGTGTTACTGCAGTGCTGAGAATAATCCACCACCCAAATAGTACCTGCTCTGTGAGGGTCCATGGGGGTCCTGACCACTGAAGAACAGGGTAAAAGGGGGCTAACAAAGTATGCAGAGAAACAGATGGACTACAGTCTGTAACTGTAGAACTACAAAGTGCACCTATATAGTAAGTGGAGCTGATAAAATGGACAATGAGCGTAGAAACAAGGAGGTGGTCATAATGTTATGCCTGATCGGTGTGTGTGTGTGTGTATATATATATATATATATATATATATATATATATATATATATATATATATATATATATATATATATTACACACACGTGGCGCCATCTTGGACTAAGATAAAATAGTACAAAATAAAACAAAATAAGAGTTTATAAAACAAAATGGCTATTCAAATCCCTGTTTATGGTTTTGTGGAGGTTTTTTGTGGAAACAAACTAACCGTATTAAAACAAAGTGTTTCTTTTCTTATTTCCAGATGGAGATAGAGAAATTAAAAAAGCAGGTACAATCAACGTGAGGGCAGATACCGATCCTGTCATCGGAAAGCCCTCCTGTCGTCCCCGCCGGTGGAATGCCCCCACAAGGGACCGATATCATTCCCATAATCCTTATAGTCACTGACCTTTTCCACAAATTGTAAGATTTACATTTGCACATAATGAGGTTTTTAAGGTATAGAAAGGTGTAATTAAGACAGATGTATCTCTCTCTCTCTCTCTCTCTCTCTCTCTCTCTCTCTCTCTCTCTCTCTCTCTCTCTCTCTCTCTCTCTCTCTATGTCTCTATGTCTCTTTTTCCTTCTGTTTTTGTTTGCCAACAACAATTGAGGCCTTATTATAAACTACTGTGCTGGATATGCAGTCTCCACATTCATGTGAGAGTGTGGCAGAATTTGCAAATTTAACTACTGAAGCTGTATAAAGTAATGGAGGGGATTTTTTTGTTTCCTTATTTTTATGACATGGGATAGATTTTTTTCTTTCTTTCTTTAACTATTATGATTGCAGCAGTAATCTTTCCATATTAGCCTCTTTAGATGACTGTGGAATATATGACGTACTCCTGATTTTTGTTGCTATGTCAAAAGGGAGATAGGCCTACACTTTTGTTTTTGTCTTGTTTTTTTTTTTTCTAACATTCCTATCCAGGGTGACACTATCGTGCCTGTTTTACAAGTGTTAATACTGGGAGCTTTCGTTTATATCCTTAGATTTATGGCGATAAATATATATATATATATTTTTTATGGTCTTGTGATTGCAGAAAATGGGAAAAAACTATATGGATTATGTGTCTTGGTCGAGTTTAAAAAGCCTCAGATGGCATAGTTCTGTAAACAGTAGGTGATCTAATATAAAGTAAGAGCTGCTGGTTTAATGATGGACTCTTACCCTTTCCCTAAATCTTCTCCTTTTTGTCACCACATACATTTTCTCTGGCAGATTATCAAATTGTCTTGCGCATAGCATGGCAGGCACACTAACGACCCAGCAAATGATCCAGTCCAGTTTGAATTTTGGATTTAGTACCAGTCTGAACATGAAATGTTCCTGACACAGTTGTCGAAAAAGCATCTAATGCTTGTTATAAAAGATCTCTTTGTGCTTCAACGTCTGCAAAATAGCAGCATTTTGAGCAGCGATGGCCCAGTTGAAGCTGGAATGTTGCAGAGACCGGCACTTTTGCTTTGTCAGAAGAAGCAGACTTGGCCAGGGCAGCCATTCTGATATGCGCCAAGTGGCGGTCATGCTTTTTGTTGCTTTCTGAGGTTCCACTTCACTCCAGGACCGCCCATGTCTGGACGAAACCCATGACTAACCCCTGCCCGACCCACCAATCCCAAAATATCACTGTTAAGTGCTTTTGCTTGCTTGCACAACCCCTCAATCTAAATGATGGCTTTCCTTCTTGAAATCGGATTAGAAATCCCTCTTCTAAATGCCAAACACTGTGGATGGCCTTGTCAACAGATTCTCAGCAGACTAAAAGCTACCTTTCAGCAGCCGCCCCCACGTTCGGCTGTGTCAAAACATATTGGATATGTTTATGTAACCGTGCTCACGTCTGTCTTACTAACAATCACGAAATTGAACCTTGTTCTTCATTCGAGTACACTAAGAGTGTACCCTCTCCTCAGGCTTCTTTACTCCTGCAAGAAAGAGCTCTCCACATCAGGGACTGTGGGACTGTGCGCATGTCTGTGTGAATGTGTGTAAAGTGTGTGTGTGTGTGTGATTGTGAACTGCTTATTGTCAGCAGAGCAAGATGACATCTTAATCCCTACAGCAATAAACAAATTAAACGCATCTAATCAGTGTCCAATCCAGGTTAAATCAATAGTATTCAAGTAGTATTTTCTTCCTCATGGATACTTAAAGCAGATTCGGCTCTGTCGTCTATGATTGGCCTGAAAACATTACATTTTGTTTTATTATTTTTTTTTAAAGACTGTTGACAACGGCTGTGCACACATTCAACATCTCTCCAAGTGATCTTGTTTACATGATTCTGAAAGGAAATGCATGAACTGAGATTTTGTTTTTTTCAAACTGAATAAATATCATCTTTTATTTACAGAGGTGGATTTTGTCTGATATTGGCTTCTCATTTTTCATGGTTTATATTAATCCTTGATGTCATACGGTACTGTGCAAAAGTCAGAGACCACCCTTCATTATTTAATATATATATATATATATATATATATATATATATATATATATATATATATATATATATATATATATATACACACCGATCAGGCATAACATTGACTTATCCTTGTTTCTACGCTCATTGTCCATTTTATCAGCTCCACTTACTATATAGGTGCACTTTGTAGTTCTACAGTTACAGACTGTAGTCCATCTGTTTCTCTGCATACTTTGTTAGCCCCCTGTTACCCTGTTCTTCAGTGGTCAGGACCCCCATGGACCCTCACAGAGCAGGTACTGTTTGCGTGGTGGATCATTCTCAGCACTGCAGTAACACTGACGTGTGACCAACACAAACTGTGCAGCAGCAGATGAGCTATCGTCTCTGACTTTACATCTACAAGGTGGACTGAAAAGGTAGGAGTGTCTAATAGAGTGGACAGTGAGTGGACACAGTGTTTAAAAACTCCAGCAACACTGCTGTGTCTGATCCACTCGTACCAGCGCAACACACACTAACACACCACCACCACGTCAGTGTTACTGCAGTGCTGAGAATGATCCACCACCCAAATAGTACCTGCTCTGTGAGGGTCCATGGGGGTCCTGACCACTGAAGAACAGGGTAAAAGGGGGCTAACGACAGCACTAAAATATACTGTAATATATTTCAGTACTTAGTATGTCCACACTCTACCTTTGTTTCTGCTTCAGATGACTTGATATTTAGTTTTTGGTTTTTGAAGAAATATCCTGGTATATTTTTCCACACCTCAAAGTTCAGTCTTAGAAGTTGGTTGCATTTTTTTGCTGCTTGTATTTAACAGATGATTTTGACTGGAAATTAAATAAACGAAGGGTGTTCTTTGTACATCACTGTACGTAATGTGAGTTTCGCTGTCCTACAAAGCCCTGAAATGGGATCGTAAGTTAAGGATGCATTTGAAACACAAAGTAGTCGCTCAGGAACTGATGTTTTGACTGAAAGGAGGCATTACACCCTCTATTAGCCTTTATTACTGTAAAAATTTAAATTTTTAATGTAAACTGTTCATTGTTTTAAATGCCCTGGCATAAAAAATGGTGCATCTTATGGCTTTAGTAGCATAAAGAGTTGAACATTAATCTTTAACCTGAAGCTGAGCTAAATGAATGCCAGCACATTGCCACTACTTTTTTAGCCAAAGTTAAAACATAAATAACAGCAATATTAAAGTGTTTAATGGATCAAACTGAACTTTTAATATCTAGTTATCTGAAATCAAATAAAGTGCTTAATTGAAAGAAAAGCTATTTAGCACAGTGAGTTAACTATACTATAAGTTTGGTATACAAGGAGAAACAAATACTGGGACAGTGAGGTGAAATGGGTTATTTTAGGTTATATATTCATGAATTCTGTACTCCAGATCAAAAGATGAGCATGAGACTAAACAGAGAATATACACAATTTATGAATATGACACAAAAACAACCCATTTCACTTCATTGTCCCAGTATATTTGCTTCTCACTGTAGATGTAGCAGCATTCAAATACAGCACAGGTGCACTGTTTACCTCATAAAATTAGAAATAACATAGAAACGACACATTGCTGAGCATAAGCATAAATGGCAAGATTCTGATTCCGATCGTGCACATTTAAGAGCATATTGATCGACTCATAGATTGCCTTGACTCATAGGTTGACTCACAGCTTGACTGGCTGATGGAATTGGCAGATGTGGAGCCTGACAGACAGATGTGGACAGCTATGCCCCAGGAGCTGCTCTCCCGCCTCCGCCTCCGCCCTGTCAGAGCCAATCTTCATTCTCCTCTCTGTTCAGTCACACCCGGCTTCACAGCCAGAGGTTCTCGCTTCTGCTTGTGTTATGAAAGGCTTTTCACCTCCGGTCCATCACTGATAGGAAAAAGGTACTGAGAGATTTATGTAACGCAGTAATACACGCCTTAATCTCTCTGTGAGGTTCACAGTATGTCTTGTTTGGGAAGCGGCAGCGTTCAAATCCCCCAGGTCTGTTCAGACTCAACACAGTTCAATAAGAGGAGGTTTCACTGCCTCAGCTCCATTTTTTGATGACCTCAGTCCGGTTTGTTTTGGATGGTCCCCCATAGATGCTCTACAGTTACTTAGGGTTAGGATTAGGATTAGGGACAGATTTAATAAAATCTTTCACACTGATCTTGAAGCTCAGTCGCATTTAATGGAAATTTAGTTGGATGTTATCCGGTGGTTCCTAAACGCACTTCATCATATTCTTCATAACTTTCATATTTCATAAGCTACATTCAGAAGGTGGGGGTCATATGAGGCTGTAACTGTCTTCCTTCCAGTCAAATAGATGGGAGATGTAATTTTAAACCCTTATAATAAAAGAAGCTGAACTCACAATTTTTTTTCTACTGAAAGTCGACCCATTTTTCCACAAATCTGGGCTATAAACTATAAACAGATGGCGTCTCTTCAGTGATCTGCTCTGTAAAAATGATTTTTATAAAATAATACAAAGACGTCTAAGATTTTTGGTTTTCAGCAGTAAATTGTAAGCATATAGCAATATGTGTGATCATAAAACACATGTTCTGTTAATCTGTGGGGAGCTTTTACAAAAAATAAATAAATAAAATAAAAATTTACATTAATTTCATGCAGTTACTGAATAATTTGCCTTATGATTTGGTCATGTACATTCAGATGGACAAACCAAAATATACCCTGGAGAATAAGAGGTTAAAGACAGACTGAGCATTTACAAAGCATCGACAGTGGACCATCCAAATAAAGTGTTACCGTCCAGCTGGGTTCTATCTACTGAGTGACGTTCACTTGTCCAGTAATAGGAAAGAAAGATCTGGTCACAGGTGCATGCAGTTCTATGCACTTCTGGTCAAATTACATTTTTTTGTTTATATGCTAAATTTAACAAATTGGGAAAAAAAATGAACTTAAAAATGTGGCCTGTACAAAAGTTAAGGCAAGTTTTATCTATTGTTTATGTCCAAAGAAAAACATGTATCTCCATTTTTTTGCGATTTTCTCTTTTTTACATCATTTGAGCACAGCAGCTGTTCTCCACATTGTGTGAAAATCTCATGATGAATGGACCAATGAAAAATGCACCAAAACCGCTTAGAAAAAAATGTTTTTCCATTGACCTGCATTAACAATATTTTGCTCTCCCCTGTAAAGTTACTATTTTGGAGATGCATGTTTTTCATTAGACCGTGACGATATGTTTAATTTTTTTAAAATGTAGAAATTGTGCACTAAAATATTTAGAAACATGCCGTATTTGAGTGCGTTCCCTATAGAGCAGGGGTGTCCAGTCTTATCCACAAAGGGCTGGCGTGGCTGCAGGTTTTCACTCCAAACAAACTGGAGTTTGTAACAGATCATCATTTGTGCTCGAGTGTTGTTGGACTGAAAACCTGCAGCCACACTGGCCCTTTGCAGATAAGATTGGAGACCCCTGCTACAGAGGACATTAACTTATTTTCACCTAGAAAATCAGCAAAACAATATATTCTGACTGCTAATGTTCAAACCTTGGCATACAGCTGTGTCTGGTTGTCTAATATGGTTACCATTAAACATTTGTATAAAACAATGAGATTGAAAAGCAAGTAACAACCAAAACAGCCACCCTGAGTTACATCACTGCAGCTCTAACCTTTCAGTAATCGCAAAGCTCTTCTATTAATTGTTGGGCAGCTAGTTAGGAAGCCAAATAAAGCAGGTGAGGTGAGGACGTCAAGAGTTTCGTCACGCTTCAGCGTTTTATAAGATGGGGATTGTGTAACGCAGATGACTTACAAAAGGTTGTCATTACAGTGATTGCTGATCAGCTTAAGCCTGGCCAGATTTGTATGATTATCTGCAGCCAGGAAGGGAATCATCACGTGCACAGAACACCTGTTCATTAAATCTGCAGAGCAAGACCCAAACCTCCCACCACCACACACACACACACACACACACACACACACACACACACTGCTCACCATTGTTTGTGATTTTTATTAGTATTAGTATTATTAAATGGATGGACTTGGAGTAGCGTATGGCATTTTCATTACAGTCTGAGGAGTGAATGACAAGTATTTATTTATTTTTTATTCAACAAATGGACTGAATGGACTGAACTGAATCATTTATTTGGCACAATGAACATTATTTTCTTAATTTAAGTTAAGATACCTCTGGTGCCCGTACCCAAAAGTTGTCTTGGTTCAGCATCAGAATTGTTTAATTTAATAAAGTATTATGGAAATTGTTTTTTGCCATATTTAATAGTACATCATTTCAGCTATATTATAACTTATCAACTGAACAATAGCAAACTAGAAAACATTAACCTAACCCCCAGTTTAAAAAGAAAAAAAAAGTGGTTAGGATGCTGATTTACATGCACACATACTAATGTTTCAGCACTTTTATTTGCTTTTACCCAATTATCTCCCCAATTTAGTCGTCTCCAATTCCACCCGCTAGTTAGGACTCCCCCAATCACACGATGCTATCAACGCTAGGAGGGTGAAGGCTAACACAGGCTTCCTCCGAGACCTGTGAAGCGCCACTGCTTCTTTTCGAGCTGCCGCTCACGCAACGTCATTGGACAGCCGAACGCGCTCGGAGGAAAGCGCCAACCGCCAGATCTGTTACGTCAGCTAACAGACGCCTGCGCTGACTAGCATCGCGCTGAGTGATGGGGGGAGAGGGAGGGGCCATCATACCCACCCAGAGAGAGCGAGGACAATTCTGCTCTCTCGGACTCCCGGCTACGGACGGCTGTAGCATCACCAGGGATCGAACTCGCGATCTCCTGATCATAGGGCCAACGCTTAGACGGTTGCGCCACTCGGGAGCCCCACTTTTATTTGCTTTATTTAAGTTTTCATGTAATTCCTGGGATCATTCT